TTTTGCGCTTCGCGCAAATCTTGCCCCCCCCCCTACATTTATTTCTGTATACGCCCTTGCCTGTTCCTAAACAACTAGTTAGTTTACTGTAATTTTTTTTCTACATTTTAAGTCGTCGTTATTTAACGTTTAAAAAAAATAATTCTGAAAATGTATCCTTCCCCATAGTAGGAGTTTTGAACGTCGAATTTGCGCTCAAACTCAGAATTTACGAGATCTTTAAAAAGTTTAATATGTCTCAAATGAATCCGAAAGAAGTTTTCCACAACACTGCATACTCAGTTCAACTATCTTACATAGCCGGTCACTCCCTTTAAAGATTATTTTGGGTTTCTGCATTGAGTGTTTTAATGCAAAAGATGCGAAATACTCAAGTGAATTTGCGCATTTTGCCCAAAAGTTAATTTCTGTTGGAAATTTTAGGCATTAGGGATTATAACAGGAAAAATGATCAGCTGAAAACAAAACATTTGATTTTGGAAAAAAATATGTGAAAATCTGCGAAATTAATCCAAATAGAACCCCCTTTACCTAAACTATAGTAAAATTAATCCTTTCCTGGATTTTTGCCCAAATCAAATGAGGGCGAGATTCCAGCTGCTTGTGCTTTCCGGAGTCTGGACCCCTCAACCTAAGCTGAGGTTCACAAATCTTGTTTTTATGATTTTTGTTTTCCTAAACATCTTTCCTGTCATATAATCTCTAATGCTTAGAATTTTCAACGGAAGTTAACTTTCGCGCAAATTCACTTGAGTATTCCGCATCTTTTGCACGGTATGCCGCGCAAAATGCAGAAAGTTGCGCATAATTTTGTTTACATTAGATCGTGCAAGAATGCGGAATTTAAAGAGGAACAAAAAACGTGCTTGCAAAATGAGCAATGGTTTTCCCTTTCCACTGGAAACCTACTGTCTGATTCTTTTTTTCAAATTCATATGATCCGTTATAGACAAAGATATATGTAGCAAATATAGAAAATAGGATTCAATGACATCAGCTGTTACAAAACAAAAAAAACCGGCCATAAAGGACACAAATGCGTAAAAATATTTAAATATTTAGGACTTGGTTCCATCGAGTATCGAACACGTAAGGGGGTGGCGAATATAGAAGAGTGTGCAAGACGCTGTTTGCTGGGAACAAAGTGTGATATGTTTACATTCTTTGCCTGGAATCAGTGTATTTACTATCCTCATCTCAAACTCAAACATTTACCACTCTATCAGGTTGGTAAATCGAGTCCTTCATCCTGAATATAAAGTTATCTGGTTTGCTAAAATTTCCGACCAAGAGCATCGTAGATATCGGGTTCATCAATTTATTGGCTGTATAAAACTGAAGTCACTATTAGTGAGTATTAGTGTAGCAAATAACTACTCCATAACAATTTACTCGAGACGTATCTATCCAGGTCTACTCGTTACCATGGTCAACCAGGACTAACTCTTAGGTTCTGAATGCCACAAAGGCAATACCTCAACCAGGCTAAACTATCCAGTTCTAAAGGACACACAGTCTCAAATCTCAACCAGGCTTAACTCCCTAGTTATGAAAGCCACACAGGCTATTGAAATTGCTACACAGGCAATTTCTCAACCAGGCTTAACTTCCTGGTTCTGAAGGACACACAGTCCAAATCTCAACTGGTAAAATTCAACAAGGACCCAAGCTATCTTTCAAGCTATATTCGATCAGATTGCCAATTATCAAGGCAAGATCTCTACTCCTATAATTCAACGAGGACCAAGCTATCTTTCAAGCTATATTGGATTCAATTGCCAATTAACAAGGCAAGATCTCCACTCCTATAATTCATCGAGGACCCAAGCTATCTTATAAGCTATATTCGAGTCAATGCTAAATCAACTGGCAAAGATCTCTGCTTGTAATGTTTAAAGAGAACACAGACTACTTCTAATACTGTAATCAGAGCAGAGTCTCAATCAACTAATTTTATTAAAATAGCTTAGGTTACAAAGTTAAAAGGTATTGATGTAAATTAATTCCTACAATGTTATCTATGTCACATGATTAATACCATCGTATTACATATTTTACAAGATTAGAGAAAATGTATATCACGCAGTATAAACTATCTATGTACATGTTATAATAACGTAATTCAATTATGTTAATGATTCAACTAATCATATTAACCCTATAAAGGCTGGGGGGTCTGAATCTATGTATAGCCGGGGGGGGGGGGATTGTTTTGCGTTCCCCCTAGAAAAAGGCCTTAGAGAATAGGTATAGGCAAGGGTGTAATGCAAGGAAAGTTAATTGCGGTCGTGTATACTCTGCGTACATATTGAAACCAGTTCTCTTTGGGCGGAATTTGCAAACAAGCGTAGATGCATCAGTGTTCATTTAGTATCCGAGGAGGTTAAAAGCATTAAATTTGATCATTTTGATAATTCACATAATAGTTTCCTATGACTAGAATATGTCATTGATTTTTTAATGTAAAAGATGGATCCAATGTCAGGCTGTAACATCCGTCTTGTGTTTACATTACTGCCCAAAGACAGTACACTGCAGTTCAAAAGATGCGTACACTTCTGAAATAACTTTCCATACATTACATCCTTGGGTATTGGGTTTAAATGCATGTGCATAGCCAAATTTGCCAAGGCCAGATCATTGAAAAAAATTAGACCGATAACTTCAATAGTTTGGGTGCTAGGAAGGGTTGAAAAAAAACGCCAAAAAAGGTTCAGAAAAATGAAAAAAATAATTTTTTTGTTTTATTAACAAATATGAAAGTGTGACACATGTTTCTATGTCCATTTTTCAAGGGCCTTTCAGAAATATAGTTTTTAGATATGTAGCTTTAGTCACAAAAAAGTTATGGGCTATTTTAGATTTTTTGTCCAAAGAGCGAACTGTTTTCCACGCTGTACCCAACCCTACGCATTAAAAAAAATTTACAAAAAATCATTTAAATTACTATTCATTAAAATTCACGAAAATACAGCCTCTTCATTGGCCAGCAGTGCTCCAATCCTCAGAACCTCTGCTGTAGGTTTCTTTTGCTTCTGTAGCCTCCCCCGTCCAAGGTAATCCTGTTGATGAGAGCTGCAATAGAGGGAGTGAGACCAAACATCAGGGTTGCTATGGCGCAGGACACAAGTATGGCGAGGTACTCGAGTGCGAGATTGATCAATATGAACTCCTTAATTAAGCTGAACTCCCTGGAGACAAAACCTAGTGGGTTGAGACTGTTCAACATTTCTGAGCGATGGGTCTGTACACGGATTATGGTCCATATTGAAGACATTACCTAGCATGCTAGATGAACTCAGAGTACATTCCTCCGTAAGGCACAAGGAATTTAAGATTTTTTGGTGAGAGGATTTTATATAGCTAGAAAAACTATTATAATCTTCCCATGATTGGATCACGTGCACAGCAGGGGTGTATAAGGTGGTAATCTGATCTTTTACAATCTTGGAAACTTTCTTGTGAATAGGAGTAGGGGCAACTCAGGGGGGGGAGGTCGTGGAGGGTTAAATCCTGACAGGAGGTGGTAAAAAAACTTATGCTTCACACCATTATCTATTTTATTCTTTTAACTGCCCTTGAAACTTAAATAATTTTCATTAAAGTTATTCAAGATTTCAATTTTCAAATGGTCTATTGTTTTGGTAGTTCTGGAACATTTGCATTTTGTGGTTTCGGTTTTTTAGCACATTAGTAAAGTTTATTTGTAGTCAAAGCTAAAAAGTGGAAACCCCTTTTTCATGATAGAGAGCTGAGTTGTTCAAAATATTGACTGAATTTGAAAATAGAAAATGTTTTCTATTGAATTCTGGCTCTCATATAAACTCATATAAACTCTCAAGTATAACTCATTTTTGTTTACAGGTAACATATCCTGCTGTGAGTTATAACACATATGTGTTGGAATGTGATGACAGTGCGGCGACTATTGATACCTCTGGACGCTGGGAGGATCCTGGTGTGAAAGGTTGGGAAGAAACTTCCAGCTGTTCTGCTCCTGAAAACTACAATGGATCAACTCACAACAGATATTTTCATAATTTTCTACCAGGTAATATTCGCAAATTCAAGTCTTTCTGATACTCTGTTACTTGTGGAACATAACAGAAACAGGTAATTGTTCTTTTGCTTAACTTGTCATGAACANCCTTAATATTTTAGAAAGACATTTAATTGGTGTCGCGTGCATGATATTTGAGAAGCCATAGCTGGGAACTTTAGAATGGGATTCCATTAATCCCAACTGCTTAATCCGAATATCCGATGTGGACACTTTTGATTTCTTGCTTAATCCACTCTTTTTTGGATATAGTACAGAAAAATAAAAAACAGGTTTTTTTAAAATTAAGAGTCCTTCCCGTTTCTGTATATTAATCTTAAATGTTGCTCAAAATTTTAAATTTACCGGCTTCTGATGCGCAAATCTGATTGGTTGAATTTTTTACAATTTTCAGGATACAATTCAAGATTAACTTAGTCTCGAGATTAAGAAAAAGAGAGGATTAAACATTAATCTCGATCTACCATTCCAAAGTTCCCAGCTCAGACCTCTTATTAGAGCAGTATTTTAGTAGATTACTTATTTCTTCAGAGCTGAAAACTTTAGAATGGATAAACTTTAATCCTGACTTCTTGATCCGAAAATCCACTATGGAAACTTTTCACTCTTTTTCTCTCTCCTTGGATATCCGTTGATTGTTTTCTCCAATGAGAATATTTCTGTTCTCTCATTGGTTGCCCGCTTTTCTCTGATAGGCTGCTACAGTTTCTCAGATGATTAAATATTAATTTGAATTTTATCGTTTTTCATACACTTTTAAGATAATCTTGCAAGATTATGTTAATCTGGAGATTAAGAAAAAGAGTGGATTAAGCCTTAATCCCGATATCCACCATTCAAAAGTTCCCAGCTCAGAGCTGAAAACTTTAGAATGAGAAATCCCTAATCCTGATTACTTAATCTGAATATCCAATGGGCAAACTTTTGATTTTCTTCTTAAACCGTTCTTTCTTGGTTTTTAGAATTAGACAGTTCCTCTTGTTTTTGTATATTAATCTTAAATGGCGCACAAAATTTCGAGCTATTTGGCAAAAATTCTAAAGAAAATCTTAGTACTTGCATATTTTGTTATTTCACCCTATTTCGCTTTTTCAAGTTATTTCGTTAAATTTTGAGAAACAATCCCAGGAAATGATGAATAAATTCAAAAGCAAACCAAGTTAGAGGCCGGGCCCGTCAACTATACTCCAGCTCAGTGCTCACACATGCTGGTCGAATGAGCCCAAATTCTCAGGACACCCCGAACTAACCAGAGTGAACAGAATTCGGTTTCTTCTATTTGAAATCAAACTTGTTTTGCTCTATAATTCAATAACTTTTTACCTTACGGATTTGTTTTTTATACTTTTTCGTTCAAAATGTATAAAAAGTGTTTAAGAAAAAAGGCTAAAAATGATGTTTAAGGGGTCAAATTGTGATCGAAAGTCACAGCTTTTTGGAATATTGACAGTACCGTACCGACTATTATACCGTTTACCGGCAATCAATCTCAAGTAGTATCTGAGTTACTCACAAATTAATTAATCATAATCACATTCACTAATCATCCGTCCGGTCTGAACTTGGAGACGAGCAGGGTAAATGGGAGTTTTTTACTGAAACTAATTTCTTAATTTCGTTTTCATGCACAATACTGCTGTACAAAAATTTCAATTTTTCGTATTGATGGACATTGCTAAATTACATGCAAAAATGACATGTGTTCATGCAAATATCACGAAAAAAGTTTGAATAAATTTATTTATTTTGAATTAATACGTAATTTTGTGCAAAACTGGTTTCATATAGATACGAAAATGATGCGGAATTTCGTGCAAAAAAGTCAATTTCGTGCAAAACCACGCAACTGTTGCGCAAGAGAATTGACTGTTTCGTGGAAACCATACTCTGATTGGTTGAATTTTTTACACTTTTTAGGATAAAATTTTAGGTTAGTCTCGATATTAAGAAAAAGAGAGAATCAAGCATTAATCTCGATATCCAGTATCCACCATTTTAAAGTTGTCAGCTCAGGAGAACTTAAATGTGCTAGTTTAAAAATTGTTTTATTTCAAATTATTATACAGTGACATAATATCTTTATTTAGCCTGCCCTAAAGGATGGATAGATTACAATAATGAAAAATGCCTACTCCATAGTGATTCAGATAAAAAAAAATTTGATGAAGCACATTGGAAATGTATTATTACTGAGGCTAGGCTTATATCTAAATTGGACACCGACCTTCTAGAGTTTGGAAATAAACAAGATTGGAAAGATTATTGGACTTCTGGAAGAAGGCATCGAGATGGTTTTAATCCTCACAGATTTTACTGGGACTATGGATGGTATGGATGGGACCTTGGAGATACTTCAAAATGGAATATAGATGCTTATAGTACACCAGATAAACCACAAAATTGTCTTTGTGTGCATGATTCAAATAAAATGAAAGATGAAGATTGCGATGATGTTGGTGAGAATAAAAAAACTTTGTTTTATAATCTGCTAACACTTAAATTTACTCTTAAAAAGCTTGTTAATTGTACTTGTTGTCATTGATCTTAAAAATGTTAGAGGTACTGTTTAGATTATAAAATTTTTTTATTGGACATTTCAAAATTAACAGAAAAAGAGGAGGAAAATTCCACTACTTTCTTTATCTTTCGTGAGATAAAGTGAAAATATAAAGAAAATATTGAAATTTTCAAATATGCTTTCTTAATTTCTAAAATAATTTTTCAGAAAAGTACGTATGCGAGAAAGAAAGAAGTAAGTTTTGGTTTATTAGAAGAACTGTAAGCATAATTTCAAGTTACCCTGCTTTAAAAAAAATACCATGCTTAATTTACAACAATCACTTCAGAAATTATATGTGTTTGTAAACTTATCTAAATTAGCTTTGTAAGTCTTTATTTTGGGACTTTTTGGAGGTGTAAACTATCAGATATAATTGAGACTTCAACTTTTGCTCGCCGTTGAATAAGGAGTGAGTCCTTCTTCTGTGCTCTGAGCCTCCCTGTGCTGCTCGAGCTCGTCTATCCGCTTCTCTTTACGCGCTCAGTCAGATTTGAAGGGCCAGTACCTGACTATTTAGATTGAACTCATCTATCTAAATAGCTGTACTAAGAGAATATAATATGGTTTACCCATATTCAGAGCTTGTTTTAACTGCAAATGTTATGTTATGTGTCATGTTTAGACTGTACACAGCGCATATCGGAATTTGCAGTTGAACACTAGCTGGTTTCGATAAGCTTACACACACATATCTCTGTAATCGACTAAAAACTAAAGTTTTAGGGGTACCATTGTAAATCAGAGATTTTTCTCCTTGCATGGAGGATTAAAATTACCTTAAAAGCTAAATAATAATAAGAGTGGTAAATATAAATATATTTTAACTCCTTAGATCTAAAAGGCCTCGGGGGACAAGTGGACGGATATAGTATAGAGAGGATAGTCTACTGTCCTCATGAAAATATTATATATGATTTGAAATATGATCTTACTCTTGATGCTATTGTTTCTCATCTTCCCGTGGAATATATAAAGGAGTTTAACCCAAATACCTTCTTAAAAGCATGGATAAGGTAAAATTATTAAAATCGATTTCTTCTGACATTAACTGAGACAGTTGAATTTAACAACTACTAACGGGACTGTGGATGTACTTTCAAGTGATCAACTTTTTTGGTGTAAAGCTGCATGTCATCCGTTTCACAAACATATACTACACCACTAGCTTCAATTTTAATTCGCGTGTTGGTCTTTAATTGAACAATATTTAAATTTACAAAATTACACTAACACTTTTATTAAAAAATCATCACAATTGTGATCGAAACTCAAGGTTGCTGGGACAAAGACAAACTGTTAAATTGAGTGACTGATATAGGCTGACTGACTGACTCATCCTTAATCTACAGAGACTTTGATTGCATGTTGTAATATTATGTTTTATCTTAAGAATTCATTTAAAGAAAATATAAATTTGATCTAATAAAACTTTGATCGATTCAGCTGACGAAAATAATAGAAGTTTTCAATTCCCTTACAATGAGTAAGCATATTTTGAAATCTCATGATCTGAAATAACCATTTTCTTGACGTTCATAATCCTGGTTGTTCTTGATCTCTATACTTGGGGTAGACAATTTCCAGGGCGTTGTTCCAGGATTTACTAGAATAATCATAGATTATACATTTTATTCTCGACAGAAGGTTTTATACTAGGCATTACAAACTTATATGATGAATAATGAAAAAACTTTCATAAGTTTTGATGTATTAAGAAAAAAACCTTTAATTGTGTAACAAAAAATTATGTTGCACGGATATATCAAAATTACGTTGTATGCTGTCGGTCACACTGCACTGTCAATCAACTGAAATGCAGCTTTCTTAAAATTTAGAAAATTCCATGATGTAAAGAAATAAATTATGTTCAAACCAAACGAACTATAATTAACATAATCATTGCTACCCACAAAGATGAGACTTCAGAGACGACTCTGTAAGGAATTTATCCCGTCAATTTCATTATATTCATAATTCCCTGCCACTTCAGGTCCATATAATTCCATTTCTAATCTTAAATGCAGACCGGGATATGAAATAAATTTAGAGGCATGAAAATACACTTTCTGTGTCATTGTAAAAAACAAGTTTTTTGTGTACGTGAACTACACTTCAGAAATAGGTTACTGCAGTGGGGGTGTTAAAAGATGTAATTAAAAGTAATCAATATAAGAGATAAAGTATAATATAAAGAAAAATAAACACTCCTAGGCACGGTGGACTAATCCAGTGGGGTCTGTCAAATAGGCCTAGGATTAGGCCGGGTACTGTAAAAAGTCTGAATGTGCCATGGGAGTTGTCTTAGTTAGCCCTCCGACGGGACTATGCCAAGAAAATTGGCCCCTGTCTTATGTAAGTCTGGTTAGGGCGACGTACTGTACAGAATATGGTCATAGGATTGGGTCAGTACACGCTGTTATCTGGCAGGCCAGTACAAACTGGGCAGGTCCTGTTCGAATTCAAATTTACTACGGCCCAGAGTGTAGGATAACAACATGGTTAATGTCTGCCCCTAATATCTATCAATCAACATATAGGATCCTATTTGATGGAGTTATATGGACCCCTGCTAAACGTGGTTCTTCTTTGACAAATAATTCAAAATATATAGTCATTTAAAGAATAAAGTTAAGACAGAAAACTCAATTCAAACTTGGGGTCGTCACATTTTATAGAGTTTTGTGTATCTTTACAGTCTCATCCTTTGTGGGTAAACCTGTATTTTATTTCAGATCAATGCCTGGAGATCCAAAAAAATCGGGAGAGTTTAAAGTTTCTATCGAAGTTGGAAACTCTATTGATGAGATTACGCTTCCTATGACAGAAAAATCAGAAAGCATCCCAATTATAATTCCCATTGCAAATATCACCGAGTTACCAAAATTTATTTCCATCAAAGCAGAGACAACTGAAGGGGGGTTAATATCATTTTCTCCGATAGAAATTAAAGTTGACCAGCCAATATACCTGGGCTGCATCAGGGTTGCTTCCAGCAGCAGTGATCTTGAGATAACAGATTCACATTTCAAATGTTTAATCCACTGCAAATCCAAGGAGAAACGGTTTGCCCTGTACTCTACTGGCAATTGTGCTTGTAAAAATGATATTGAAATAGACCCGCTATTTGGATTAGAATCAACCCAAGCTAAAGATGTTGAATGTCAATCTGAGTCCTCTGGCGATGTGTTCTCTGTTTATGTTGCTGGTAAACATTTATGAATAAAAAGTTGAAATATCTTTCTCAACCGTGGGTTCTTAAAGGGACTGTAAAGGAAAAATGAAAGGGGTATAGAATAAAACCTGAGAATTTCAGGTTTTGAACAATACCTATAAGACATCTATCTGATGTTCCTGTCTCGTGAAATTGATACAAAACTGTGTCAAAATTATACCAAAACGGGCATATGCCAGATTTTGTATAAAAGTTGTAGTATTAAATGGATATATTCAACAAATATGCAACCTGGAACGCAACGCCTATACCCATGAGCAACCTGGAAATCTCAGGTTTGCTCCTGCTATAATTTTTTTTTTTATCTTCCATTTTTAATAGATATAATTGATAATATTGTTACATTTATTCTGTATAGTCTGTATTATGTTACCAGAACTTCAGCCAATGGCAGAGCAGTATACTGGTCACATGATTTCCGTCTGTACCACATGACAACGATACTGCACTGTCATTGGCCAAAGTTATTGTGACGTAATACGGACTATACGGAATATATGTAATAATATTATCAATTATGCCTATTAAATATGCAAATGCAAAATAAGAAATTATATTATGAGCAAACCTGAGATTCTCAGGCTCCTGTGGAATAAAATCGTTTTCAGATTGGGTGCGTAATTGTTGAATATAATCTGTTTAATGCTACAAATTTTATACAAAATCTGACATATACCTTTTTGGTATAATTTTGAAACAGTTTTATGTCAATTTCTCGAGACAAGAACATCAGATAGATTTCTTATAGGTATCGTTCAAAATCTAAGATTCTCAGCTTTCATCCTATACCCCCTTTCATTTTTCCTTTACAGTTCCTTTAAAGGGACTGTAAGTGTAATTTCAAGAGACCCTCTTGACAAAGAGAGAAATGCCAGATTTACAAAAGTACTCTTTAAACCTTAATTTGATTAAAACTTTGGAATAAACCGCTGTTTTTCAGACTCTAAAGGTAAAGTATTTATTTATCTATTGGTTCTTAAAGGGACTGTAAATGGAAAAAGCAAGGGGGTATAGGATAAAACCTGAGAAATTCAGATTTTGAACGATACCCATAAGACATCTATATTATGTTCCTGTCTCGAGAAATTGACATAACATTGTGTCAAAATTAAACCAAAAAGGCATATGTCAAACCGAAAACGACTATATCTTAGAGCAACCTGAAAATCTTAGGTTTGCTCCTGTTATAATTATTTAATTTTTATTTTGCAATTTTTATAGATATAATTGGTAATATTATTACATATAATACGTCACTAGTACTTCAGCCATTGGCAGTGCAGTATACTGGTCACGTGATTTCCGTCTATATCAAATGACAACGATACTGCACTGTAATTGGCTGAAGTTATTGTGACATAATACGGATTATACGGAATATATGTAATAATATTATCAATTATACCTATTAAAAAATGCAAAATGAAAACCTTAGATTCTCAGGCTCCTGTGGGATATAATCGTTTTCAGATTGGTTGAATATTTGCTGAATATGGTCTGTTTAATGTTACAACTTTTATACAAATCTGACATTTGACCGTTTTAGTATAATTTTGACACAGTTTTATGTCAATTTCTCGAGACAGAAACATAAGATAGATGTCTTATAGGTATCGTTCAAAACCTGAGATTCTCAGGTTTTATCTTAAACCCCCTTTCATTTTTCCTTAACAGTCCCTTTAAGCAAGAAATGGGCAATTCACTTTCACAGAGAAACCGCAAATGAAAATAAACAGTTTAAATAAAAAACATGGATATTTTATTCATACTTGATGAGGCAAAGATTTTAAGGGTACCGTTGTGAATCGGGCATTGCCATCTATACATAGAGAGTCACTTGCAATTACAATTACAAGCTACAGTACCTGTAAAAAAGAATGAAAATCACTGAAAACAACCAACCTTAACAATCCCATTTTTCTCCAGAATGTGAGAAGGGCTTCCTACGACTAGGGTCTAGATGCTATACTAGTGTTGGAAAAGGGCAAGCTGGATTACTAGAAGAACGATGCAACAAAATAGGTTCACATCTGTGGGCCCCCAGAGCAATTGCAGATGTCGAGACTGTTCAGAGCGCCTTTCCGTAAGTTTAACATTTCAAAAGTCGTAATTAATTCAGAACCTTTTACAATAATTAATCTTTTAGGTTATTTTAGATCTGAGCAAATATATATAAAACATATTAAAAAAAAACATATTCTTGTTAAGCCTAATTTAATATATATAAAATGTTACATATTACCAAAATGTTTGTGAATATATGATGAATACTTTTTCTGAAACTTTAAACCCTTTCAGTGTAAAATTGATAAATCTAAAATAGCAATTCATTAAAAGTTCTTAAATTATTTTAACCCCATAAACTGAACTGTCTTAATTTTTTTTAAATAATAATGTTATTCAGTTTTCTCAAATGCTTTAGATCAAGTGCAGATACATACCATCTCGGGGTGAGGAAAAAGAGCAGAATAGATGGAATTACATTTAACGATCTGACAATGGAGCCTGGCTTTTATCCGTTATATTGTAAGTAATTTATAACTCTAAATGATTGAACAAACTGTGACAAAGGCAGTTATTGACAGCATTTTCCCAAACTGTATTTTCACCTGCCAAAACCGGAATTCTACATTAATATTTCTGATTTAAAGAGCCAGTTTAACTTCCTTGGTGGATGATGTATTTCTTTTAAGGAAGTTCATGGCGCTAACCTTTGCTAATTGAAGATAGCGCATCGGAAAATCTAGGCAAATGCTACGCATTTTGTCGGTGAGCCAAAGATAGTGATAAATGTCGTCTTCTCTAATAATTCAGTACATTTTTATGCTGTTGACGTTTCATAGTGTCTTTTGTAATGGATTTCAGAGTTATTTAAAAACAAAACAAGGAAACAACTTTAGTTTTTCCATCTTGAAAAATAAAATTTGAATTTGTCCATAGTCTATAAATGTGACTAGTGGATTTTACTCAACAATTTTTCTGAAGTCCAGGACAAAACGTCACTGGAAATAAAGTCCCGAGTTTTAAATTCCAAGGACTTTTCCCTAAAATAATATGGGGGCTGCCAATAAAGTCTCAGGAAATAAGAGCACAAGAAATAAAGTCCTAAAGAAAAATAGTCCTAAGTCTTGTGAAAATATGATCAAGTCTGTGACGTTTTTATAAAAAGGACTTTTAAACGTATCCAGCGGTGTTTTATATTAATTGCCCTTTTTTTGCATGCATTTTCTACGCTACTTTCGAGAAAGTCCGGTTTTGGCGGGTGGAAATACAGTGTATAATTTGCTAACATGTAAGATTTTAATTATCTTGAACTTAACGTGAAACCTTAATAAAAAAAACATTATTCCTAGTTTCCTCTGGAGAACATGATGGGTTTAAGTTGGATCCAGATCCTATACCTGACAACAGTTATTTTGGTTCAGGCAAAGGTCAAGCGTTTAATTAATTATTCTCGCTTTTTTAAGGATTTTTTGTTTTTGTGTTTTTAATTAAAATGAGTCAAATAAAAAACTAATATTATTGAAAGATTTGGGACAATTTTCATTTTCTTATTCTTGGTTGTATGCGGATAAAATTTTACACATTTTAAAACAAGATACTTTAACTAGAATCTCCCTAAAAAGGCTAATTCATTTGGTGTACCATGTACTGTTTTGCCTCATAGTCTGTATTGTATGTGTCCATTACAGCTTACTCTAGCTGCTTGAAAGTCGGTCAGGTTCCATGAAAATTAACCGGAGTTTACAGTGTTTTGTAAAACCTCATGAACAGTACATTTTACCCATTCTCGTCGAATAACTAAATGTAAAATCTGCAGATATTCTTACAATTGATGCCACTGGTAAAGTAAGTGTAGCTGGAGACGATCAGGATGGATTTGGAGTCTGCCAGAAGGATTTAGGTCAGATTAAGTTAAACATTTATTTCAATCGTCTTCGTATATATCAAGACAATAAAGACGACTTTCGATTTCAATTTCGATTACTACCAAGTTTTTAAACAGAATGGAACACATAGTCAATGAAAAGAGCTTCTCTTTGGTTGAAAAAAACTTGTTAGATATCAAACTTATAGAAAAGTATTTTTGTTCTAAATAATTATATATGATGAGTTTTTTCGATGAAAGCAAATAATTTTCTAGAATTTTTCGCTTTAATCAGATACGATAATTTTGAAAGTTTATTTTTTTTAAAATAGAGAAAAATTGATCAAAAAACATGTTTTCTTTCAGTTCAACCCCTAGGACTTCTTCGGCTGATTGATGAAGTTAAGGTGAAGTATAAGATACATGATGAGGGAGTTGAGTTTCTAGAAATTGATTCTTCCATTCTACCTGATTCTCCTGGAATACCTCTCAGAGTTCAGTTAACTAAGTAAGTTCATTTCATTCACTTCAATGCTTTTGCTGATTATTTTATCAAATAACAGAACAAAACTCCGATAAATCAGCTTTTACTATTTGAGAATGTATTATGAATGAAAAGAATGAAAGCAGCTTCTAATACAGTTTAGATAGCTAGAATATACGGTTTGGATAGCTAGAATATACAGTTCAGATAGCTTATGCCTGATTGAGAATAGAAATATGCTCAAAGCTGAGATTTTAAAGCTTAAATTTGAGTAGAACTTAGCTTATTCGGAGACTCGAGCTTCGGTAAAACCTAAGTTAGGATTCGACCATACGAGACTGCTCTCGGAAAGCTTTCATAGCAAACCGATCAGCTGTGACTGTGAAAAGGTTCCTGTTTACAGGATTAAATTTCAAAAAATCGTTGACACTATAAATAATTTGTATTAGGCTTTTCAAATATCAACTCTGTTTAGAATGGTTTTAACCCTATTCCTGCTGGGGGGGGGGGGGGCAATTTTGGTCTGAGGCTGTTGAAATTTTCTGACTTTTCTTACATACCCAAAGCCCTCCCTTTAGGCCTAAAACCGGGCTTTAATACTAACTGCCTGAGTCCTCAGGCACACTGTCTGAATGACTGCTTTTGCCTGTAACAAACTAAGTCTTTGTTTTGACCCACTTTCACTTATCAGATTTTGATAAAATTTAGCTTTTTGGAAAGCCTATGACATAAGGAAACGGATTGCAAAAGTTTTGCAAAAAAAAATTGCAAATTTTTTGCAAAACACCTGTTAAAGGAAATTTGCACATTTTTAGTTTTTCTTGATTAAAAATCAGGTTATTTAAAATTTTGCAAAAATTTTTGCATATTTAAAATGGCATGGTCAAGGGCTTTTCAAAAATGTATAATTTGTCATTTTTTGGACAAATTTTTTTTGCAAACATTTTTACTATATTACTGGATTTTGCGATAAAAAATTCAATTTTCGCAAATTTGCAAATTTTTTGCAGATTCTAAAAGTAGAGCACAAGAGCTTTCTAATGATGTATCATTTGTCATATTTGGACATAAAACATGGGATTTAGAGGGGGGGGGGGTCAGCGTATCCTGGTTTTCAAGTACCCTAGCAGGGATAGGGTTAAGATAAAGTGAACAATTTTAAATTTACATCAACACTTCGCAGATTTTTAAAAGTTCAAATTATTGCCCATTCCCGTCCCATACTATAATATAAAGTTTCAGGGCTCTCTCTGTATTTATAAAATTTGTAGATGCTCTTTCATTCACAGATTTTCAAATTAATGTTTTTGATAAATTTTCATGCAATAAAAAGAATTTAATATTCAAAATTCAAAGAAAAGGCAATAAAAGATTTTATTAGTTTGTAATTCGTATTTAATTAGATTTATATTGTAGATTAAATAATTGCATTCATAAAATGTTAAACCAAATATTATGATAGGGATTGTTCACGTATTTCAAAATACTTCCCTTTTTTGAAATACAGGGTGTCCCAAAAAACATGGGAATTCAGTGCAACGAATTCGATATCGTCTTTGTTATTAATTAGCATTGTAATACCTAATTTCAAAAGCCATAATATTATTATGTCTGCTAGAGTTTATTTTATGAATTAGATAATTTGAGATATTATACACAACTAGATAATTTGAGATATTATACACAACTAGATAATTTGAGATATTATATACAACTAGATAATTTGAGATATTATATATAATTTGAGATATTATATACAAAATAATCAGAATATTTTAGCAAAAATTTCCATTCATTTATCGTCTAATGAAAGTGAAAGACCCACGCATCGCATGATGTAAATGTATTAACAAACAGATGTGCATATGTAACAATACACAGGACAAAATCATTAAAATCTGTCCATAAAACAGATACAGGTTTAGCCGCAAAGTATGAGACTTTATTGACGACTGTAAGGAATTTATACTGCCTCTTTCCTTATATTCATGATTCCCTTCAACCTTAGGATAGTCATATCTTAAAGGATTTAATCGTCTTTACAGTCTCATCCTTTGAGGAGGGTACCCTTTATAAATATGTACTTCTTGTAAATCAGGAATCAAAACTCATCAAATGGAAATGGAATATGTTATATCAAATATTTAGAACGGCCAATTTGATCTCATTTCGTTGGTCTAATAGCGGAAAGTATTATTGAGTACTCTGAATCTCGAAAACATATTTGAGCGTTGAACTTAGTTTTGATCCTTGAAAATTAGGTTATTAGGTAATTGTAACTTCAATGACATAAAAATTAAAAAAGATCCATTCTTTTTTCGGGACGGTTGGATTGTTCTTGATAGTTCTTGTTGAAAAACCATTGTTCTTCAAGAACGACACCCAGCCCTAAAACTTAAGTTACAATTTATTTTTAATTTAAGTTTTGTAAAATTCTATCGCTTAAAATTCTGATTTCTACAGTTTAAAAAAATATTCTAAAGAAATAAAAATCCAAACAAAATCAACAAAAATACATTAAAATATGAGTGTACTACAATGACAAAAATATGAAAATTAGCCCAAAAATACTTTGACTGCGTTCTTTATGAATGTTCTAAGAATTTCCTGAATCTAGAGGTTCCTCGGAATCCTGGTTTGAGGTTGAGTTTGTGAAGAAGGTAATGGTGGATTCCATATTGATAACAATTAGTAAGGGGACCTGGATTAAAGAGCTAACTGTGATTATACCTGGAGAAGATGTGACTATACCAAATATAAAACTGTTCTACTCTGCACTCACCGAACCATTTCACAGGATTATTAGATTTCCTCAGCCTTATGTATTTGACAGGTCAGACAATCAAAACCTTTTCAGAATTAAGATTTTAGATTATTTGAAAATGTACAGTATAGCTCATTAGATTTCTAATATTTGAAAATGTACAGTATAGCTCATTAGATTTCTAATATTTGAAAATGTACAGTATTGCTCATTAGATTTCTAATATTTGAAAATGTACAGTATAGCTCATTAGATTTCTAATATTTGAAAATGTACAGTATAGCTCATTAGATTTCTAATATTTGAAAATATACAGTATGCTCATTAGATTTCTAATATTTGAAAATGTACAGTAGCTCATTAGATTTCTAATGTTTGAAAATGTACAGTAGCTCATTAGATTTCTAATATTATTAAAGAACTTTTCTGCATTCTTAAAGTTTTTGTACTTGGAAATAATTTTTATTTGTTTGATCAGAATCAAGATTGAAATCGTGAATTCGGCTCGTATTTTTGAAATGAAAATAGACTTTCTGGGCCAATTCATATCAAAGATGATACCTGATGGTTTCCTGGACCACGGACCATATGAGATATCAGGTATTTGAAATTTTACGCGCCAATTAATGAGAGAACTCTCATTGGTTGGAATCTTGTAGGGATATAAAAAAGAGAGAAAAAGTGAGGATTAAGAAGGAAATTAGAAGTGTCCAAGTTGGATATTCAGATTAATTGATCGGGATTATGGGAAGGGTTTCAAATTCTAAAGTTCTCAGCTCAGATCCAATATATTGGGGTCCTTTCTAAATTATGGTTCATATATTGTATAATTATGGTTATATTTCTGGTAGGGTAATTTAGGTAATGTTTCTAGAATAGGGTTTATATATTATGTATATAGGTTGTAAACACCTACTCCATAGCAAGTTCTCAAAACGTATCTATCTAGGGACATCTGTCCGCTATCAAACTCAACCAGGACTGAATCCCAGGCTCTAAATGCCACACAGGGACACAACCACAAGTGTAGCTAACAAAATCCTACCACCAATACAGTATTCAACCAGGACTGAACCCAGGCTCTGAATGTGACAAAGGGACACAAGCCTAGCTATCAAACATGGTATATATAACGATCCTAAATGATAGGGATGATCCAATGTTCTAAATGTCACACAGGGACACAATCTGCAAGGCTACAATCCTATGACTAATCAACGCCACTACATGGAGCTCGATCTTATTAGCTATAGGAGCCAATACAGACACTAGCAATCAATTGATCAATGTCCCAAACAGGATAAAATCCACGCGGCTACAATCTTGTGACTAATCAAAGCCACTTCACAGGGCGGGATCTTGTTAGCTATCGATCTCAATACAGGCACTAGCAATCAATTGATCAGTGTTAACTAGGACACGATCCACACGGCTAAAATCCAGTGACCAATCAACACCAACAAGCACTTAATAGATCTATACCAATACTCAAGGTATGATCTCCACTTTTATGTGTCAACAAGAACCAAATTACTTCTAATACCAAAATCAAAGCAGAGTCTTAATCAACTAATTTTATTTAATTTCTTATGTCACAAAGTTAATAGGAATGAACTTAGTTACAATTCCTACGATGTTATCGTTATCACATGATTAAGACCATTGTATCACATATTTATCGCACAGATAAAGTTTAATATACATATTTTTAGGATTAGAGAGAATAGATATATAACGCAGTTAAGCTATCTTCGCACATTTTGTATAGCTTAATTTGAGTATGTCGCATAATTTAAGCTAATTTCAATTGAAAGGTAGTTTCAATGAATAATGTCATTATGTCTAAGTTTACAACATTAAATCACTAATATGTACAACATACTGCAGTTTTACAGAATATCATGTTTCCACGATTTTTGCTACATATATATAATTTCTAGAAAATGGTTCATAAATTGTATTAAGTACGATTTCTAGAATTTTCATTGAACTGGTATACAATCTCTGAAAAAGTGTTCATTTGTTGTATTTTGTTACAATTTCTAGAAAATGAGTCATGCATTGGATTAAGAAAAATTTCTAGAATATTTAGTGTACTGGTGCTATTGCTGGAAAATGGTTTATATATTGTATTAGGTACTATTTCTATGATGGTATGAATATGGTTTATATACTGTATTAGGTGCAATTTTACCGTTTTTAAATTATAGTTCGTAAATTATATTTAATTATTTTATAGATCCATAAATGTTTTTTCTGCATTTTTTTCAAATTATTCCAATTCGAATATATTTGAATAATTGTATAAACTACATATTTTTAGAACTAGTCGTGAATAAACCGGGGGAAATGGTTGAAACTCTAGATTACAGTATTTGCCCTCAGGGTGGAGTGAGGTTTCAGTGCAATGGTAAAACTTTTATTTCTCATATCTTACTAATCTAAAATCTATATAACAATAAATATCGACATTTCTTTCCGACAAAATTTTTCATCAATATACTTTAACTGGGGGATGGGTTTCCAATAGCAATAGCATCGCGCGCAACAATGCCCAATGGTTGCTTCCATTTGCGCATTTGTTTTGCGCGCAATATTGATTCGCAAGATCCACTGCACAAAAAATTACAATTACCAACATGAATTTTGCGCTATTGCTTTATTGCGATATTGCGTTATTGCGCATGGGACTGTTAAATATACTTGTGAAGAGCTTATGGCCTCATCCTTTCCGCTCCCTGCCCCCTATCTACATTCTACAGGTAATTTCTTAGAAGCGCTACAATAGGTTCAATCCAGCTAGGTAGAGAGTCATTTACATTTACACGATCCCATGTTAGGATTTCGTAAAGGCAAAACTAACATCGGTAAATAAGTTGACTATGAAAATTAATTCAGATAGTTTATAGCAAATCGACACATATAGAAGAGATTTTATATTTATTTTTTATTAGATAGTGAAATAATTCCATTTATTAAAGTAATCGAGTTTTTGCAACAAACTCAGATTTTCTAATTCCTATATCTTCGCAACCCGATGATGTAAACCTTTGATATTTTGAACTAATAACTGTAGTTTGAATTAGCAAGGATCTACAACAATTACAATGAGAAAATCATCAATCAAAACATATCACTATTATAAAACATATTATGTTTAACCTATAACTTCCATCATTAACGTGATAAGAAAAAAAGAAAATAAACTTCGTATATAAAATATTTTGCAAATAATGTGACTACAAGTTTACTTAGGCATGAATTTTTTTTTAAGAAAGAGTGTCCTAAACTGAAATTATCCAAACTTTGTTTTTTTTATACATATTCATTTAGATAAGGATCCGTCACTGTACTCTTCCTATCTTGTTTCATTTCATTTCCCTTTCATTCTACTTTATTTTATATTTCTCTCCATACTTTCCCTTTCATTCTACTTTAATTTATATTTCTCTTGATACTTTCCCTTTCATTCTACTTTAATTTATATTTCTCTTGATACTTTCCCTTTCATTCTACTTTATTTTATATTTCTCTCCATACTTTCCCTTTCATTCTTCTTTAATTTATATTTCTCTTGATACTTTCCCTTTCATTCTACTTTATTTTACATTTCTCTCCATACTTTCTAATTCTGTCAATACAATTACAAGTTTGTATTTCCTTCTCTTTTACACATATATAGAGGTTTAAAGGATTATTTTCTTATAGTAGCAAGGAAGTACATTAGAAGGATTTATGTTATTTCATCAATATTTCATGTAAGTTTTATTTAAAAAGAAATTCTTAGTTGCGACGATGGTAATACCAGTTTCAATACATTTGTAGTCAATTAGTTTAAAATCTCAACGACTCAGGATCTTATACATTTCATAGTCAAATTTTACAGTAGAGCAAAATTTATAGTCAAAACCATGGTAAATGCCCTACTCCATAGGGGTTTCTCAAACCCGTATCAATCCAGAGATGAGATTTTAAAGCCGAGTAAAACCCGGTCTTTCCGTCTGCTTAGACCCAAATAAAGCTCAACTCAAGACCCGGGCTTTTGGATGGCCTTGAGTTTAGTAAGAACCAACCATCTTGGGTTTTTCTCTCTTTAATGCTCAAGTCTTCAGCAGCTGATGATCGTAAATTTCGTAAAAAATTTTATATTTGTACATGTAAAATCTTGGGAATCATTTGTGGTGTCAAATTTTATTAATTATATAAAATTAACATACTATGAAATAATGTCACAGATGATCTGACAGCATTCTGTCTGCTACAGAGAGATAGCTTGCAAAACAGACTCTCATTGGTCGAATTAGAACCAATCCTGACTTGGGTTCTATCTAAGCCTGAGTTTGGGTTTTACTTGGGTTTAGGCTTTAAAAATCTCATCTCAGGTATAACTCAATATTCTCAAACCAGTATCAAAACAGGTATTGCTCAATGTTCTCAAACCCATATTAATCCAGGTATAACTCAATATAGTCTTACAAGATATTTATTACAAAACTGTTGAAACTGTCAAAATGTCTAGGGGATTCCTGTGTACTAGAGCTCTCCAATGATGAGACTCAAATCGGTATAATCACTTTCTCCATTAGAACGGAATCTGGAAAATATTTCCACTCCATTATTGCAACAGATACTATTACAACAACAGAGTTTAAAGAGGAAACAACTGCTATTGACCAAGAGATATTTGTGCATTGCTTAAATGATGAAACTAATTTACAGGTATTAATTTATTATTAAATCATGTTAGCTCTACTTTTTATATATCCAACGACTTTTTAAAGTTTAAAAAAGCAATGTACCTATATAATGTACAACAAATTTTGTAAATAAAAAAATAATATTATTTTCTAAGTGGCTTGAATCGTTCATCGCACAATATTTTATCTAGTTGAAAACTTGACATGGAAGAACTTAGCTTAATTGACAATTCTGATTCTTTGTTATCTCATAAGTAAAAATCTAAATAGATCTGAATAGCTATTATTTAAGGTGTATGTCAATAACAAGCTTAAACCCATTGACATCAAGTTTGATAAAAGTATAACACTTGTGAGATTGAAAGGACCTATTAGTCCTGGAAAATTTGAAAAAAGCCTGAGGAATCCAGGTGCCCTTTCACCACCAGCAACTGCCAATAAACTTGGATGTGATACATCAGGTAAAGTGCTACCCAAAACATTGTGGAATATAAAGACAACATTAAAGCATTTTTACCCTCACTTGAGTCTAAAAGTCGTCTTCCTACTCCAGAGTTTTATTGGGCCCACTATAGATTTTCTTTTCTTCTTACATTATCATAATCATCACAACTAAACTTATTATTTTTATTAGGAAACATGTGTTCAAGAGTTTTGAGTGATCCAGGAAAAATGATCCAAGTTTATGAAGCAGTGCCATCTAAAAAGGTATACATATATACAGGGTTTTCCACTGAACTTGATAGTAGCAAGAAGACTTTGAAGGTTGTCTTTGATCTTTAAAATATCTGTTTTATTTTTTTTCAGCTGGAGCCTAAAAACCCCATGAAATCAATAGATTTCACAGGTCCAGGGGGGCTAAGCCTCCATAGCCCCCCCCTGAATACGCCTCTGAATGGGTTTCCATAAATCAAGGCCTGATCACACTAAACTACTAGGCTGGATACTGTAAAAAGTCTGGCCGGGTCATTGAAGTTGAAACTGGGCTGACAGGATAAAGTCAGGCTGGTAAATGCCATGCGTCATTGAGCTAAGCTGGTACAAGCATAGAGAATAGAATATATATTAGAGGGGAATTGACTAGAAAAAAGTGTAAAACGGCCATTTTGTTGTACTGTTTCCATACTGCAGGTAAATTTATGCCATATAACCTTTTGGGCCCTGGAATATCATTTTATAGAAAATCTAAAATTAATATTAAAAGAAAACCAAATTATGAAATAGGCTGGTTTATAATTGACCAATGATCATTTCACATAGACTCTATGCGCATTTCATTTTACAAACGATGATTTTTCGTTATAAATATAAATCAAATGATGTTTTTTATTCACCTAGTTAATTGCAAAGTTTATCTAACAGCTGTAAAAAATTTGAAATTGAAATGGATAGTCAGGGGAACATACTGTATGAATGTACTTGACTGTATATAATTTGTGAAATTTACATGATTTGTACACTTTGAACTCCCTGAAAGGGACTGAAAAAATGCATACCGAGAGATTCTCTAAATTCCCCTCTAATATATATTCTATTCTCTATGGGTACAAGGAGTCAGTCTGGTTCGAATTCCAATTGACCCTAGTGCCCGTGTGATCTGTTCAGTCAGCAACCAAACAATCACACCAAGAGACTATTAGAGAAGCCACATTTAGTTTAATTTAATAATTTCTACAATTTTAATATTTTTAGGTTGAATATATGGAATTTCAAATTGATTGGAGATGTCATAGATCCCCTAACTTTCATTCTCTCTGTAATATTATACAGTGGAAATGGTAAAAATTTAATATAGATGGCTTAACAAAAATCTATATTTTATGCTGCAACATTACTTTTAAAGTTTGCTTTAATTACATTTTGGTAAATTTTGATTCTAACCAAAAATATAAGCATTAAATAACAGTAAAGTTATCCATAAGTTTTCTTTAATGCCTATATAGTAAACATTAATTTTATCTAAAAAGAGAGTTTAAAATAAAATAGCTTTACTGAATAGTTTATCATATGACAAAAGAATAAAGAATACCAAAATTCTCTTTTTTAAAGTATATTATTACTCAATCAATATCTTGGATGGTATTGTAAACATCATTCACATTTTTTCATTTTGTTTGTTCATCACTAGGTTAATCATTTTGTTAGGTTTTTTAAATTGTTAAAAAATTTATAGTGTTTGTTCTTCTCATTAATTTTTCATCTATTTTGTTTGTTTTCTCACTGAACAATTGTTAAGGAAAATTGTTTTTTTAGTAAAAATTATTTTAAATCTTCAATTTTTTTTGTTTTTTCCTTTGTTAAAAAAAAGTTTTCATTTCTCTGAATTATACCATATTTCACAAAATATTTTGTTTGTTTCCAGAAAGGATGCCCATATCTAATCTATCCACAGTTCATGTGTTTATTTTCAGGAATAAAGATATGGTGCATGGTAGTGATGATGGATTGATTTGTCCAGAAGAAGAGGGAATTATTAAACTAGGATTTCAGTGTCTTAGACTTAAAATTGATCCATTATCCTTCTCTGCTGCTCAGCAAATCTGTTTGGATTCATCTGGATTCATTAATCCTCCTCAAGGACTTATTCAAGCTGAAATATTAAGGAAAGCTCTTAATTAAGGGACTGGATGTGTAGTTGCAAGTAACTCTCCATGCAAACATAGCAATAATCGATTCACATTGATATCTAATTCATACTTATTCAAACAAAGCATTTTGGGGTATTATATGATGTTCTTTATTTATATAATCAAAAAACTGTTTAGATTGTATGCTGAGAAATATGGATTACGCTCCTTTTGGTTGGGAGTAACTAAAGTAGATGGAACTTGGATGAGGACTACTTGGGAACCTGAGAATCTTGATTATTTTAGTATAAATGATGCAGATTCGGTTGGAGACTGTATAATTGTAGACTCTGATAATGAATTCAAGCCTAAAATTGTTGACTGCGAAGAAAAACATGGGGTATGCCTTGATATGTAAACATTGCATGTAAAATCTTCTAATTTCCTAATTTAGTATTTCTGCAATGCTTCTCCAAACTGTCCAACTGGATTTGTATGGGTTCCTACGCTAGGGCGTACTTGTCTTCATGTTGGAGGTATTGTTGGCGAAAAAAGTGAAATTGGAGACTTCCATTCAGGTAAACAGCAGCTACAAAGAGTTAATGGAATTGGCTGTCAAAAGCTACAAGCATTTAGGGCTGGGCACATTCAGACTTTTTTCAAGCTTTTTTCAAGGATTAGTTTAAATCATTCCAAAACAAAACTTTTATGGTAGCTTTTTGTTCTTTCACTAAAAACTGAATGTTCCATTTGTTAATGGTATTCTGTTCATTCTGTTTTGTCATTTGTTGACAGACTCTTACAATAATTTTCAAAAACTTGCTGTTTGTTAACAAAACGTTTCCCAGCCTTAACATGCATGCATTTCGTCAAGAAACAATTCTAATTATTTTCATATTTCTATAGGTTTGAGTGTTTGTGCAAAATTTGGTTTGAGTTTGTATACACCATCTACATCTACCGAATTAGAAGACTTCTTAAAATGGGATGAACTTACTAAATCTGTAAATGGAAAGAATTTCACTGTCATGACTGGTAAATCAATAAATCACATGAACTTTTTTAAATAAAAACTAATTTGTTTATCAATCATCAGGCCTGCGTAAATACTGGAGTGAGAATCAACCATTTTTTGTTTCCCATTACTATCCTGATGACATGCCAGCCTCAACATTTTCAAGTCTTGATGGCAAACAACCTTGTTTTAGTTCTTCATTTCATACAATAACCGATAATAGCTGTTATGAAGGTGATCAAAATATCCCCATGAGAGCAGTTTGTCAGTATAAGGAGTGCAACACTTTGGAAAGTAAAACATGTGTTTTCCCATTCCAGTATAAAGGAAGAACATATGATACTTGTATTCGTACAGACAAGGGTAAGCCCTGGTGCAGTCTACAAGTTGATTCAAACAGAAACCATGTTAATGGAGTAAATACTGTCGGAACATGCGATCAAAGTTGTGCAGTTCAAACCTGTCCATCAGGATTTTTCAGAATTGATGAAAACTGTTTTCATATTTCTGCTCGAACATATAACGATATAGTAAGCTCTACTAATGAAGCTCAAAGCAAATGTTTGAATATGGGAGCTAGGCTTTACCAGCCAAGAGACTTTAAATCACTTGCTAAATTAATGGAGAGGGAAAGCATCTTTTTGATGAGATCAGAAAATCATTATCTCCAAAACATAGCACTTCAATCCTTTATTGCTATTGGAGCTAAAGTTAGTTCCATTGAACCCACTTTATCTATTAAATACTTAGATGGAACTAGAGCTTACCCTGTAGAAAAATTGTTAGAGAAGGATGAAAAAGGAACATGGCAAATATCGCACAATACAGAAGCCTGTATTATGCTGAAAAAAGATGGAAACCTGACTATTGAAGATTGCAATGGTTATGGATTAAGCTCCAAAAAGTTATTAGGTTACATTTGTGAAGCCAAAGAATTTATTACAATCAGCGGTCCCCAGTCAAATAATTCTTGCCATTTCCCTTTTAAATCAACCATAGACAGTCCTTTTCACAGCACATGTGTGATTGATGACTTACATGAAAGTCCATGGTGTGCTACAGAGCTGGATGAAAAAAAGGTTGCAGTATCAGATAAATGGGGAGTTTGCAGAGATGAGAGACGAATTGCCATGAACGGAACAGGAGCCGGGAGAGAATGTATTTTACCATTTATTTTGAACAGAGTTTGGCAAACTAAATGTATTTATAATATGGTTGGCGAACTTTGGTGTCCAACTCACATAGTGGATGGATCTAGAGTATTCAATGATCCTACTGATGAAGTTGGAATATGTACAGATTATCTAAAACCAATAAACACAGATTGTGAACAGAATTATGATATGGTTGACAAAGTGTGTTTGAGAGTTTCTCCAATTCTTGAAGATTTTGATAAAGCCCAAAATAAATGCAGGGAAGAAGGAGGAAACCTTCTTTCCGTCCTTACAGACACATTTTTGAAATCTTTGGAAATCTACATTTCAGAGTTGAACTCTTCCAAACTGTATACTTCTCAATCATTAAGCTTTACATCTTCAACTAAATTCTGGATTGGTGGCATGTTCAAAGAAGATGACTGGTATTGGATATCAAATAGCAAACTAATAACTGATTCTTTACCAGCGATTGAATGTGGCTCTGAAGAATGCTCCAGTTCATTTGGTTTGGTATTTGATTTAGATGAAAAAAAGTGGGAAGGTATTGCAAAATCACAAAAGATGCCATACATCTGCCAATCTAGTTGTCCAGCAGGATTTAAATGGTATCCGAAAATACAAAAGTGTTTGCTGATTGCAAATACCCCAAATTTAAAGACCAAATCAGCTGCAATGCTTGAATGTGCAAAGAGAAGTTCAGTTCTTTTCAGCATTGACTCCTGTGATGATTTGCCAAGGTTCTCGGAGGATATCATGTCATTCATGATAAATGAAAGAACTGTATCCACAGAATTTTGGATTGGCTATTTTAGGGTTGACAAACTGGCATACAATGGTCGAAGGGTAAATACTATTCATGGAATTAATTCAAAAGGAAATATTGGAGCGAATGGCCCTTGTATAACAACTAAAGAAGGAGAAAAGATTTTAGATTTTCTAAAATCAAATGACAGTGATGTATCTGAATACATAAACCTGGGAACAAGCAGCACACCACAGATATATTTACATGCACTACAAAAGAATGATGTGGTGGAAAAGGGTTATATTTGTGAACCAGAAAATGACTGGATTTGTCCAAATGATTATACAATGTTCCTGGAAGACTGCTACCACTATGAAAACTTGTCAACTTCATTTTCAAGTGCTTTTCTTCACTGCAATTCCATGCATGGAAATCTTTTTGAACCAAAGATTTTTGCTCAAACTCTTTTCCTTCAGTCATATTTGTTAGAGCTATTTATATCTGTTGTATGGACTGGGTATAGAAGAAATATGTTCAAAGATGTTGATGGCGGTTCTACTTATTTTGAGACTTCTACTTTTACACAATCTGACTTTCCTGAGAAACTTCAAGCATCAGGTCAGTTTTAATTGGGTTTTATAAATTTCAATCTAAATTCAACAAATCAATCAATAAAATTATTAATATTTTTTTTGCCATTTCGAAAAATGAATGCAAGTATTTTAAAAGAAGAACTGCATCTATTCAAGTACTGTACACCTTAGTATAACTAAGCCCTTAAAGGTTATGAAAGTAAATTATTGATGGTGATCTCTACTAATCCTACTTCTATCTGTTGCGTCTATAAGGAGAAAGTTGTTAAAAACAACTCATACCCAAGAACGTCACATTCATACCAATTCAGAAAGTTACAACATTCGACTCAGATCATTAAAGAAATCAATTTAATTCCAATCAAATAATTCAGGTATTAACCCATAATCATCGATAATTTTTCAATGCATTCTTATAGGGTTGATTTTTTGTAATACTTTTAATTTGTCTTATATACAATGCCCTTAAAACGTTGATTAGTTGGCCACCAGGTGTCTCTCCTCTTGATGCTCTGAATGATTTCATGTGGCAGAGACACGTAGAAGAATTGTGTATTAAACAAATAAAAAATATTACAAAATATCAACTATTTATGGATACGTCGAAAATTATCCATGATTATAGGTTATAATATCTGAATGATTTGTTTGGAATTAAATTGATTTTTACAATTTGAAAGGGTATGTGGCAATTTCCTGAATTTGTATGGACGCTACGTACTTTGGTAAGCTAGTTGTTATTATAATTTTCTCCTTATAGACACAACAGATCGAACTAAGATTAGTAGTGATCACCATCAATAATTTTCGCTGTGAGGCTATTCCCACTTTAGTTTTTTGCGAACACTCCGTTTAAGAACATGTTATTTCATATTTACAACAGTACCCTTTAAATCTCCATCAAAGAAAGTAAAATGTGTTGAATTCTGTTCTTTTCCTTCAGTATCAATATCTCATCTATATAGAGAAACAAATGGATATTGCATTCATCTTTCATCAGTTTATCGAAAGCTTAAAGGGTATGGTTGTAAATCAAACAGACTGCTTCGCAAATGCAGGAGCAATTAAAAACACATAACCATCCTTTTAAACAAAATTTTCAAATCAATATTTTTTTTCAAGAATAAAGGATAAAGTTCTTGTAAATAGGTAGAAAAAAAATCTTAAATTGATAAAGAATATTTTACTTTAAAAAAAACCATTAAGGGAATGGGGACTGTCTTGGTTTAAACGTAACTGACTTGAATTGGTTTTGGATGGACTGCTCAGAGAAAATTGCTGTTGTTTGTCAGACACCACAACTCCCAACAGTAGAAGCTGTAGAACTTATTCATGATCCAATATTAGTATTACCACTGGACAACAAAACTGTTGACATAGCATACAAAAATTGGATTGCAAATCCAAATGAAAAAGTATTTCAAACCAAAATGTCACAGCCTTCAGATTTTCTGGGACACTCACTGTCATACATTGACTTAACCCAGTCATTTTCATTCAAAGATGGTTTGACCATTGCTTTATGGCTCAGATCAACTAACACCAGTGGAAAAGCTGTTATATTAGATTTCCGAGAAGAAAAAGATGTGGATGGACTTTGTTTTTACATTGATAATAGAAAACTCAACATTGACCTATGCAATAACACAGAGTGTACAACATTCACATCTGCCTTTTTCCTACCTGAAGAATCCTGGACTTTTGGTTCAGTTACTTTTGACAGCCTTAATAAAATTGGAACTTTTTATTTAAATGAAACATTTGGTATTTCTGGATCCAAATCTTCTAACTTTGAATTTGATCCAGAGGATTGGTTGTTCAAAGAAGCCAATCCTCTTAAAAATTCAAGATTAGGATCAGCCAAGTTTCAGGATGAAGATGGAGAAGAGAACTTCTTTGGGAAAATGTCCTGTCTTCAAGTGTTCTCACAGTACTTGTCACAGGCCCAGATGTATCATGTGATGAAAAATTGCAAAATTGAGGACTCCAATCCTAAGGTCAATGAATGTCCTGTAGGATTTTTCCGACTTCATAATCAATGTTATAAACTGCATACAGAGCCAATGTCATATGTCAGTGCAGAGGTAGAATGTTTGACAGCCAATGGTTCTGAAAGTTATTTGGCCTACCCTGAGGATTATTTAAGCCAGGAGGCTCTTCTTCAGATTGCGGTTGAACAGGGATTTGAAGATATATGGTTGGGATTAGATTCAATGTCAGGTTGGATAACAGGGAAATTTAATCTTAGCCACAAACTCAAATTTTCTAATCTCTTTATCTATAAACCTGAAATAAATATAGTAATAACCCCCATATCATCAAAACCTGAGCCTACCTGTATATATATATATATAAGGTTATAGACAGGTAGAGATACCATTGCTTGTTAGAGAGAATAGAGTCTGATAGCTTTGTGTGTTGATAAATACATACTTGGACCTACCATTGTTTGGTAGAGAGGATACAGATTTATAGCTTTGTGTGTGGATAGATACAATGTTCGGTAGTGAGGACAGAGTTCAATATAGATGTGTGTGGATTGAGACACACTTGAAGAAATATTATATTTATTACAAACCTTTGATATTTTTGAAACTAATATTATTTCGTCTAACATAATTCATAGTTTGAAATATCAATGGTCCATGACATTGGGTTGCAAATGTTTAGGAGATATAAAATTAGTTGTGTGGCAAAGATTCAATTTCTTTTATGGAATAATATAAGAATGAGCATCTTGGTATATAAGTTTATATTTTAGTTCACCCACTGGAAGAAAAATGGATGAATAGTGAAGGAAAGGAGGAAAATAGTTTAAAATGGTCAGATGGTTTTCCTGTCAGTGGTACACAGTACTGTGCCTTTCTAAACACAACCACCAAAATGTAAATAATCAAAAATTCAAATGTTTTTTCAATTATTATTTGTTTTTATTATTTTCAGGGGAAATGAAGACTGTGAACAAAAGAAGGCATTTTTTTGTTCTGTTAGACAAGAAAATACCCCAGAATGTCCTCCAAATTATTTCAGTTACAAGGAAATGTGTATTTACAAGAACTCAAATAAGACTTCATTTTCTGAAAGTAAAGAGCAATGTGGTCAGTATGGTGGAATAGTATTGCCAATTAAGACTAAGGGATTGTTTGAGTTTATAAAGTATCATGCTAATGCACTAAATTCTGGAAGTCTGTATATTGGGATGAACAGAACTGATGGTTTAACTAGATTTACAGATTTCTCAGAATACAATTCATTGTCTTTTGATTTGAATGGTTCAGATTTAGTCAGTGAAAATCTTCAATGTGTGTTTCTGGACAGTTCTGATGGTTTTGTTGCAAAGCAAACAGATTGTGAAAATCAGTTTGAATCATACTGCCTGTGGCAAGGTAAAATAAAATTTATTTTGTCCTTTTTGTCATATAATATTGGAAACAGCTACGGTTTTCCATTTTATGTATCAAAGCTCAGCTCTTTAGGTCAAACTTTTATATTTTATTTTGATCTATTTTAAACATTTGTCTATTTCAACAGAGCCATATTGCCCTGAAAACTACACAGTTAATCTAGCTGAGGCAAATGGAAGAACCTGCTATTCTCTAACTCAAGGTACAATTAGATAGCAGTTAATTTAATTCCAACTCATCCATTAAATGTTTCAAATTCAGAATAAAGACTGGGTTACACTCAACTAATTAGACGTTAATGAAGGCACAAACTCAGATTGTCTAATCCCTATATCTTTGTAGCCCAATTTCGTAGACCTTAGATATATCAAACTATGAATTCTGGTAGATCTAATAATCAAAGTTTGAAATATCAAAGTTTTACGCTATCTAGTTGCCAAGATATAGGGATCAGAAAATTTGAGTTGCACAAAGATTCAATTCCTTTTATCCTCAGTCTTGAATATTTTTTTATGGTAAATTTAATGATATGACAAGAAAGAAAAAACAAACTATAAGAAGGTACAGAACAGTTTATGAAACCAGCAAGATTGAATAAATTCAGTATTATCATTCTATTTGGGTAACCCTGTACATTAAAAGGTGTTAGGTACTTTCCCAAAGGCATTTTTCCATGGGGGACTTCCCAAGTGACAATTTCACAAGTAGCAACTTCCCAAATGTGCATTTTCCTAAGCGGCAACTTCTCAATGGTTAGGGTTGGGCCTTTCAAGGCGCCGCAGGCTGCAATGGGGGCCAAGCGCTTTGGCTAGGATGGGCTAGGGGGCCTCTGTATGTATAAAATGCCTTATTTTTCACATTAGCTTTATGTGAGGTAAATAGAAGGTAGTTAAAGTAGTAATAATTTAAATTTTAAAAATAAAGATGTGTATTGATTTGTATATAAATGGTAGAACTCAGGGTAGTGGGGAATTTTTAAAAAAATCTTGAATAAATGTTGATAAAAAAGTTTTAACAAGTCGGTGGTAGTGAGGGTAGCTTAAAATAAATAAAAAAATTTTGAAAAAAATGTTGATATAAAGATTTTAAAAAGTCGGAGGTAGTGAGGGTAGTGGCAAATTGAAAAATAAATTATTGAATAAATGGAGTCACAGAAGTTCGTTGTAAGATTTTGACTCCACTGGAGACCACCGGAGGGAATTCTTTTTCACTGGAGGGGTTTAAAAAATGCTTTTTACAATTCAAAACTTTACTCAGGGTGATTTACATTCCAATGGAGGGATTCAGATGTCCTTCCAAGGGGTTTATTATTCCACTGGATGGATTCAGATATCCTTCCTGGGGGTTTATAATTTCACTGGAGGGATTCAGATGTCCTTATCAACATTTATTCAATAATTTATTTTTCAATTCCCCACTACCCTCACTACCACCGACAAGTTGAAACTTTTTTATCAACATTTATTCAAGAACTTTATTTAAATTAAAAACTACCCTCACTACCACTGACATTTCAAAATCTTAATTTCAACATTTATTATTTTTTTTCATTTTCCAACTACCGTAACTTCCGCAAGATAAAAAACTTAAGCAAGTCTTAAAGAAAAAAAAGAGGCAATTTAAAGATTTTTAATGTTGAATTTCTTGCTAAACATTTTTTTTTATCAAGATTTTACAAAAAAATCTTATACTTTTATAAGAAAAGTATCTGCTAACTACTATTCATACCTATGTTAATAAAAAATTCACCTATTTTTCAGCAAAAAAAGGCATTTTATATGTTCACAGGGGGCCTAGCGCTTCACCTATAACCGACTAGGGGGTTGAGCAGTTACCGCTTGGGAGATTGCACATTTGGAAAGTTTCAACTTGGAAATATGACCTTGGGAAGTTGCCGCTAGGGAAAAGACCATTGGGAAAGTATCTAACATTCAATACAATATTTTAAGTTTAATCAATTTAAGATTTGAATATATTTTTGAACAGCATGGAATATTTTTAGTTTTGAGTAATTATAAAGATGCAGAATGTAAATCTGGGGATCATTTCCTGGATAGAATTGCCCAACCTGAAGATCTAGAATTAGTAAAACTTGCACTTCAACCCAATAAGTAAGTGATAAAAATCAATAAATGAACATCATTATTGATTGATATTGATATTGAAAATTGTAGGTATGCATCAAGAGGGAAAAAGATCAATATTTTGAATACTTCAGTTTATAGAATAGAAAACCTACTCAATGACAGTTTCAAACTAGTTTTAAACAATCATTGTTACTTTAAAAACAATAGTTTTTTGAACAGATCACCCTCAACTATGCTTTGGGTGTGTTTTACAGTAATCTGCAGTACTCTGACTAAAAATATGTAGCGTTTAGTGGAGAGTGAGATATATTTTTCTTGTCACCAATTATTGTTTTTGTAGATAAATATTTAGAATAAACAAATTAAAAGTGAAAGAAGGCACATTTTTTACATAAACACCGCCATATGTCTTAATCGTTTTGTTATATCCCTTTCTGTGTTTAGCTAATAACATTATAATACTGCATTTTTAAGGTTTGCTTGGATCAATCAATCAACTGAGAAGTCAAAGGTAGGATTTCCTTAACTGATATAGTCAGTCAAGGTCTAGGTATTGACTATAAAGGTAAGGAAAGGTAGGATTTCTTTAACTGAGAAAGTCAGTCAAGGTCTAGATATCGACTTTAAAGGTAAGGAAAGGTGGGGCTGAGAACTATTCTGTGTTCTGTCTCAGAATACAATAATACTACATAGTAAATTCTGGTTTTCCAACATTTCTAGACATATAAAGAAAGACATTTTATAAGGAGTACTCAGAGGACACGTTATAAATAGCTCAATCAAAGACAAATCATAGACAGAGAAAGTTGTCATGGATAATGTTTATTATTTCCTTTAAAGTAATCATATGTAATACATTCTTCATGCACTCTTTATCCTACGATCTATCTAATGCTTACTATAAATCAAACATATTTTCAATTTGATATTTTTATGGAGACACACTGCAAAATATTATGCATTAAATTTTTGATATTAATTTATAAATCTTAAAGCCAAATTGTGCTCTGCCTATGAAAAATCCTCTGTGGCTATGATATTTAAGGGACAGACCGGCTCTGTAAGGCAGTTAACTGAGTATGCAGTGTTGTGGACAAATTCTTTAGGATTCATTTGAGACATATAAAACTTTTTAAAGATTTGTAAATCCTAAGTTTGAGTGCGAAGTCGACGTTCAAAATAGTAGTTTTGGGTAAATACGTTTTCAGAATAGTTTTTTTTTAATTATTAAATAACGATGACAAAAAATCTAAACAAAATTCTACAGTAAACTAACTAGTTGTTTAAGAACAGGTTGAGAAAATAAAAATTAATCTTATTATCGAAAATAAATTATCTTATTCAATTATTTGTTTCTATTTTCTCATTATTCTATTCACAAAGATGTTCTGGAATATTATTGAAAAGACGACATTTGAAGAATTTGTAGAAATCTACAAATAAATTCATAGAAAATAAGAAATTCAATATAATGATAAAAACGAAATAATTGATTCTAGCATTGATTTATTGACAAATTTCTTTTGAAAAATATCTAATTAGTTTACTGTATAGATTTTACTTTATTTTTCGTCTTGCGTCGTTATTCAATAATTTAGAAAAGCCGATTCAGAAAATGTATCCACCTAAATTCATGATTTTGAACGTCGACTATGCACTCAAACTCAGTAATTATACATCGTATGAATCCTAAAGAATTTGTCCACAACACTGCATACTCAGTTTAACTACCTTACATAGCTGGTCTGTCCCTAAAAGTATTTTTTTTTAAATATTCTGTCTTTGAAATAGGGTTTCCAAATTTTCCTTTAATCACTTTCGCGAAAATTTCGTGATGTGAACGTAAACAAACATTTTTACTCAAAATCTTTTTTTTCGCAAAATTTTCAAGAATCCCTTTTCGCGAAATTTTAACTTTATTTTAGCAACCTTTTTCTATAACTTTTTGATTAAGAAATTGTTTATGTCAAAGTTGACAACTAAATTTGAAATTTTATCATCCCTTACACAAAGCAGTCGTTGCAGAAGCATTTAAATAAAACTCAACTTTCAGAGATTATTCACCAAAAATTCACGTCAAACATGATACTCAGTCATTTTCAAGTCTTCATGTTCAGTTGAACTGTATAATAGATGAGCAGTATTTTCACAAACTAACCATCTGGATAATTTGTCTGCAAAATTAACTTTTTTTTACCAAAAATCGTGACTCGGTCATACTATATTACAGCATTAACCACAAAAAGGATGAGACTTAAGAAAACAACAGTCAGAACTTTTTGAGTCTTCATTTATTAATTGAATGTTCCCTGCAGCTTTAAACTTATTTTTTCTTTGCCAAATCATTGAATATATCATTCACGAACTATTTTCAAGATTCAGAAGCCGACTTCTACCTTCAGATCTTCATGTCTAACCTATACCAGCTGGAATATATGTGTTTAATGTATGCTGGANGGGGGGGTTACATCAAAATCCGCGGAAATATTGAACGAAATTTGTTCAGTTTTGTTCGTTCATTTTTGCAAATTTCGTTTAAGTAAGTTTCTTTGAAAACTCTACTTTGGAAACTTTATTTTGAAATGTTCTATTTTATAATTTTCCCTATGTGAATTGTCCTAAGATGAAAAGTGCTATCTATGAGTTGTCTTTCTATAAAATGAAATTATGTAACTCCTTAAGTCTAACTATTTATTTATTTTCAGGAAGAATGTTCAGTTGCCACATCAACTGGACTAAACTTAACCTTGAATGGGAACAAATGTGAAGAGGAATTACCAACATTATGTGAATATATAGCTTGCTACTCTACAGATGGGTTTCAATGCATATTCCCGTTTACTTATAAAGGAGAAGAGTATAAACAGTGTATATATGGAGATTTATTGAAACCATGGTGCCCAATAGGTCTGTATTCTCATTCTTTAAGGAAATGTGCCCAATAGGTCTGTATTCTCATTCTTAAATGGAATGTGCCCAATAGGTCTGTATTCTCATTCTTTAAGGGAATGTGCCCAATAGGTCTGTATTCTCATTCTTTAATGGAATGTGCCCAATAGGTCTGTATTCTCATTCTTAAAGGGAATGTGCCCAATAGGTCTGTATTCTCACTCTTAAAGGGACTGTGCCCAATAGGTCTGTATTCTCACGATCTTAAAGGGAATGTGCCCAATAGGTCTGTATTCTCACTCTTTAAGGGAGTGTGCCTAATAGGTCTGTATTCTCACTCTTAAAGGGAATGTGCCCAATAGGTCTTATTCTCACTCTTAAAGGGAATGTGACCAATAGGTCTGTATTCTCACTCTTAAAGGGAATGTGCCCAATAGGCCTGTATTCTCACTCTTAAAGGGAATGTGCCCAATAGGTCTGTATTCTCACTCTTAAAGGGAATGTGCCCAATAGGCCTGTATTCTCACTCTTAAAGGGAATGTGCCCAATAGGTCTGTATTCTCATTCTTAAAGGGAATGTGCCCAATAGGTCTGTATTCTCACTCTTAAAGGGAATGTGCCCAATTGGTCTGTATTCTCACAATCTTAAAGGGACTGTGATCGTAATTTTAAGTGACCCTCCAATTTTTATGCAAAGATGCAAAGTTTCCCAGCTATGAATTAAATACTAAGGTTTATCTTTATAAATATAGCTGCAATCTCTGTTTGTCTGTTTGTTGGTCCGATCATAACTCAGGAGCCCCTGGAACGACTCAACCTGAAATTTTGATTGGGGAACTCGGCAGAACCACGGGAATGTTTTTAGCTTGGTTTTGAGCTTCTAAATTGAGTGCTTCGACATCAAAAGCGAAAATTTAGTTTCATTTAAGTGTGCATAAACAGCGGAGCAACTTTTAGTAACCTGGGCAGCGCTGGGTTTTCCAGATGGTAATTTATGAAACTGGTTATCTTTAATTGTACTTACTCTGTATGATTCACTAATGCAAGAAAAAAAATATCAGATGTATCAGAATTAAATACATTAAACCTGAAAACAACAATAACTTCCACATTATTGATCAGATAAAGGTTTTAAGGGTATCTTTGTGAATCAGTCAAGGATACACTATTTTGAATCGTGAATTGCCATCTTGGCATGAAGGGTGACTTGAAATCAAGCTTACAGTCCCTTTAATAGATTGTTTAATTGTACTTGATTCTTCTTTATGCTTTATTTTACTCTGGATTATTCTGGAAATGTTTTTTAACTTTCTTTCAGAAATAGACAAAACATCGCAAATCACACGCTGGGGCCTTTGCCTTGACCATTGTCCAGCAGAAGAAGAAAAACCAATGTGTTTATCACATCCCCCCATACCAGAATTTGGAAAATCTAGTGATAACACCAGTTCAAACTTTGAGTCGAACTGGTTTGACGTTGACTTTTCAACTGATGACAAGTCAACCTACAATATCTCTGGAGAAAAACAAAGATTACATTGGCCAGACTGGATATATGATTCAGATAATACAACTGATACAATTATGTTTACGGTTGCAAATAATCTTGAGGATTTTAGCAACATCTATTCAGCTTTCGCCAATAATAAACGTGCAGTATATACCTGTCCTAAAGGATTTGTATTTGAGACTACATACGAAAGATCAATATCAGTTCTGTGTTCAAATGGGAAATGGGGCACTGAAGACTTTGATGCATCCCAAAAATGCATAGGTAAGATAAAATGTTAATTTCTTGATTTTAACGAAAATTGTTAAAACTCTTTTGTGATTTAGCTCTGAGTTGTGCTGAGGATGATCTGCCAGAAAAGACTGATGACCTTAACCTTGAATCTGATGATCATATGAAAAGGAAATCAGAGGATTCAGAGAATTGGAATAAATATACAAAAACTGTCAAGTACAGCTGCCCCGAGGGACATGTGGTTAAATGGCCAAATACAAATGAAGTAAATGCTGATGTAACTGATTTTGAGGTTATCTGCCATGAAGACGCAAAATGGCATCCATTAAAAGAAGGAACCCCTCAATTAAATATGCTTCCTTCATGCATACGTAAGAACAAAAATACTATAATCTTTAAAAAGAATTTCTAACTTATTCGCGCTAAACATATTTTTAATTTAGCACGCAACTGTACATCTCCACCAGTTGCTGTTGATATGACTGATTCTGGAATGATGAGCTGGATTGAGACACCTGGGATTGCTAGACCCTACGGTACAATAGTAAGATATTGGTGTCCACAGAAGGACTGGGGATACCCATCTTCAGGGTTGAACCAACTATGGTCTGAGTGTGGAAAGAACGGAGAATGGAATGTAACAGAAGTTGAGAATTGCGTAGGTAATATTCCCAGACAGATTTATCGAGGACCTGACACGGACCACCGTGGTACATTTGAATTTCCAATCCGGGCCAACCTTTCCGGTCCCAGTTTGTAATGCACAGTTAATAAAGAAGACAATTAACAGGACTAGCCAGTGCAACAAGGTTGAGGCGTTCAGACTTTATGCTTCATATAGGTTGAATTTACTTTTACTAAAGGGGCAGAGACCAAAGAGGAGGGTGCAATTTGACACTTTGTGACAACAAATTTTGTACAGGCTGCGTTCATTCATTCATGGAGGTCAATGATCTCCGATCTCAAATTTTCTTTGTGATCCATGTAGATGACTAAAATTAGAAGCTGCATGAAAAATTTCCGCCTTCTATCTCAATTTTTAGGACCAAACGCAGCCTGTTCAGAATTTGGTGTCACAAAGTGTCAAAGTGCCCCCCTTAAATAAAATTGAACTATACCCACCGCCGCCAGTTTGAAATCCTTCCGAAATCTTTAACTTTAAATTGATGGTTTAAGTTTGAACTGTCAGTTGGTAAGTCAGCAAAGTATTCATTAAATTTGGTCCGTGGAGTTTTAATTTTATTTTTAGAATTACCATGCCCTAATCCACCTCCACCCCCACACATTGGAGCTGACAGAGTCTACGGGATAAATGCTACAAGGTTAATTTAATAGTTAATAGATTTGTGTACAAGGTTACAATATTAAAAATATAAGTAAATATTTATTGATATTTTGAATTGTTGGATAATGGGGTTTCATAATATATTTTAGTATGAAGCTTATCGTTCTTTTAGGAAAACAAGAACTGTGTTTTTGCCACAAATTCTTATACCTTTGATATTTCAAACTATGAATTCTGTTAGATTTAGCAGTAAAAGCTTGAAAGGATGTGAAAGTTTGAGTTTGTGGCAAAAACATATGTTTTTATGAATCAAAAATTGAATTTATTTTTGATTTATTTATACCAACGTTTAAGATATACCTGTCCTGGGGGAAAGATGTTTGAAACTGGAGAATTCCCGTTCTGGTTCAACAAGTGTTTACCCAGCAAACAATGGACCCATCCTCAGAAACTTCCAGACTGCATGCGTAAGTTTTTAAATGATGAAAAATTAACGATATTTCTCTTATTAAATGCATATCCCAGCATTGGCCTGTCTGAATAAAAAGTGTTTTAATAATAATTGTAATAAAGAAAATAAAAAAAAAGAATAAAAACAGTATATGCAATAATAATTATAAAAAAAGGGGAAAGGGCCCATGCGTCAATAAAATTAATAATACATTTTTAAGTATGGAAGAGAATTTGTTATATAATTTAGTAAATTAGTGTTCTGTTTTGACAAGGAAATAAGCCTGTTTATCGAATCATTGTGGTCTACGGTCAATTAGAATTTGAACCAGACCAACCCCTTGTAGTGACGCGCGGCAAGTACCGGCCCGACCATATCCTATATTGGCTTGGTTTCAACTTTGATGGCGCGGCCAGACTTTTTACAGTAGAATGATTTGACCTACACTACAAGCTTGATTTAGTGTACCATAATATTGTTGTTTAGCCAGACAATGTGTGGAAACCCCACCTGCTCCTAATCCAACAACTGAGATAAAGTGGCCAAATAAACATAACAAGCTCGGTGATACAGTCACCTACACTTGTCTTAAGGGAGGATTCATTCCATTCATTGACGCAGATGGCTGGGAGAACATGGTAACAGGTATTTTTTACATTATTTCAAGAGACCCTAAAAGGCTAAAGGAAATGAGTTTTTGCCACAAACTCAAATTTGTCAATCCCTATATCTTTGTAATCCGATGTGGTAGATCATAGATATTGCAAGCATGAAATCTGATATATCAAAAGTTGGCACTATCAGGTTGCAAAGATATAGGGGTAAGAAAATTTGATTTTATGCAAAAAATTTGTTACTTTTAAAAGAAATGAAAATCAGATTCATTTCATTCACCACCTTTGTCCGAGCAAACAAATGAAGAAATTAAAAACTTCAAAATTTACCTTTTTTCATTCTTTAAATGGATAAACTGAAGGAGGCTAGTACAGCTGTAATTGTAATTTAAAATGACCCTTCAATAATGTGACATGTGACATGTCCGATTCAAAACAGTAACCCTGAAACCATGAAACCTTGAAACAATGAAACCTTGAAACCTTGAAACCTTGAAACTTTGAAACCGTGAAACCTTGAAACAGTGAAACCGTGAAACCTCAAAACTTGAAACCTTGAAACTATGAGACTGAGAAACCTTAAAACCTTTAAACCTTGAAACCTTTGTCTGATCAAGTACGAATGGAAGTCCACGTTTTTATTTGTGGTTTCTCTTCAAAAGAGTTATTCTTGCTTCATACACAATGGAGACATTCTTAGATATGTTTTAATATGCTTTGATATATGTTGTGTACATGGCAGAAAATTACTTTAAACTCTAGTTATTCGAATTATTGTATAAACTATTTTGCATATGATAAATTTGCACCCTGATCTCTAATCGTTCTCCTTAAATCTATTTAATTGAAATATTTTGTTATTATTACTAACATTAGGTGGAAAAAATAATCAAAACAGCCAAGAGCTATTTTCCACCTAATTGCTTTATACTTGTACTGTTATTATAATCATCAATTTTGTGATTGTAAACTCTATCTGTATACAGATACATTTATTTTAGCAATAAACTTTATCTTATCTTATCTTATCTAGAATTAAACCTTTATTAAGCAAGAAAACGATGTTATTTTCCACATTATTATTCCTATTAAGGTTTCAAGGATTATTTGCAATTTAAAATTTTGAGAAAACAATTTCAATTCCGAAGAAAAATTTTGGTTGTGGAATCTTTTTCCAAAAACTTTGGCATTGAAATCTGAAGACAATGTTCATATGTTTATAGTTAAATTAGCTAATAATAAAAACATTAAACAACATTATGAATTATTTAAGAGCAAACTGTTGAGTGTATGGAGTTGAATGGTTTGATGGTCTGGATGCCTCAAAACATCAGTCAATGTTCTGGTAAACTTATTGTCAAGAATATTTCAATCACCGTTGTGAATCGGGCATTGTGTTTGCCTAGAGGGTCACTTGAAATTATGTTTACAGTCCATACAGTGACTGCAAGCACAGTCAATATCTATAAAAATATGCCTGCCTGTTTTTATGCTTTTATTACTTTTGTATAAATAGCTAAGGGAATTTCAATAATCCTGTTCTTTAATAAGAATCATGAAGTTCATGATGCTTATTAAAGAATACAAACAAATATTAATAATATTTACTTAATACATTATACAGATAATATAATGTTAGATAAAAAATACTTTAATTAAGCCTATTAAATATTAGGTAAGCTGTAATAATGCCTATACTTTGTTTTTAAATTATATCGCTTATGAAAAATTCTGAGTCTGGAACTTTAAGTAAGTAAAAAGGTTTTTTAACTTGCTTTTGCTAAAACTTCATTTTTGTGCCAATGTGATCGACATGAACCAGTGCAACAGCAGACTTTCCTATAACTGCACGCATAAGGTAAAATTTATATACTGTGAGACAAATAGAAGTGTGATTATAAATACGAAATTTAAGCAATCTTTTTCATATTTGTTGTTGCACTGCACGATTGCTCTATCTTCATTTGATTATTTAAAAACATTATTTGAGAAAATAGTCTTCCTTTTCCACAACTTTGACCCGGATCAGAAATTCAAATGTTCTACGGCTGCCCGTGTCCCCGTGATCTTATGTATTCGATATTAAAAAATCTTTTATCTTTTATTTTTATGACAGAAAAGTTGGATGGCTGCCAAATAAGCGACTAAAAATTGATGTTATTCAACATCAAATTTTGACAAATTTACTTTCTGATTGCAAAGCTTAAAAATAAATGTTTTTAAATGTGTCCCATAAAGTTTAAACTATAATGTATTCACAATTTGAAAATCTCTGTGCCAAGCAACCTTGAAGGGACATTAGCTTAACACTACTAATGTCAGAACCAGAGAGGGGAAGAGCTTTTAGATCTACAGGGTGAGTAAAAAACCCGGGATTATCAATGTTTTGGACTGTTAAACAAATGAATATTTTAAATCAATTACTCACTTTTTTTGCAAAAATATGCAAATTAAAAAAAATTCTAAATTATCCAGCCTTTTGTAAATTTTTATTTAGTAAGGAGTTGAAATTTAACTTTAACCTTCTTATGAAAATATTTATTTTTATATTGAATCCTATGTCGGTTGAGCTATTTTTCTCTATAATAGGTTTTGGGAGGGGGGGGGGGGGGTCTGTTTTTCTGTGTTACAATATATTATTTTCATAGATTCCAGAGTATTGTCGAGGAAAACATAAAATTTTAAGAAAATTATCAAACTAAGCAGTAAGCATGACACCTCTTAAAAAGATGTGAATAACTTGACTTTAGCTCTCACACCTCTACAGAGTGGAGAACTAATATAACGGTAAAAAGCTAAATTTCTAATCCTCAAATCTTTGAAACCTTATGGTGTAAACCTTTGATAGTTCTAACTAAGATTATTTTGATCTAACAGAATCCACAGTTTTAAAAGTCTAAAGTCTACAGCATAAGGTTGCAAAGATATGGGGATTAAAAAATCAGAGTGGGTGGCGAAAACACAATTCCTTTTACAGTTAAACCCTAAATATTAAATACATCGAAAGAATTTATAAAATGTCGTCTTGACAATTTTTCAATGGGTTTTATACTATTTTACGTAAATCTCAGTGTTTGCGAAAGTAAATAAATACCCATGAATATGTGGGAACAGTTTTAAAGAGCTCCATATAATCATTTAATTAAAAAACTAAATATCTGCAACATTCCATTATCAGAAAGTGAAGAATACGACATTTGATTAATTCTTTCAATGTAGGCTGGAAATAGATTTATTGATATTTCGTTTTTATTTGTATGCGTGAGCTTGTGCCCACAACCCTTATCCAAAAATAAATTATTAAAGTTAAAAAACCTTTATTTTTAAATTGAAAATGTGATGTGTATTAGAATTGTATCAAAAAAATCATTCTTTTATTTCAAATAAACTGACATTATAGTTTCATATTTACCAAATTTACCAAATGCACTATTTTTCTATATTTCTTAACCCTATAAAGGCTGGGGGGTCTGAATCTATGTACAAGCCTGGGGGTCCCCCCCAGAAAAAGGTCTTAGAGAGTAGGTATTGGGGTTGAAAAACATGTTCATAGCCCAATTTTTCAAGGCCAGCTCATAGAAAAAAAGTTATACCGATAAATTTATAAGTCTGGGTGCTAGGGAGGGTTGAAAAAATGCCTTAAAAAAGAGTTAAAAAAATGAAACATTTTTTATCAATGTGTGGCACATGTTTCTAAATGCATTTTTCAATGGATTTTCAAAAATATAGTTTTTAGATCTGTTGCTGTAGTCACAATTTTTTTTCACAGACCGGACTATTTTCCACCCTGTACCCTACCCTATTAATTAAAAAAAAAATTCACAAAAAATCTTTAAATTACTATTAACAACAAATCATTTAAATTAATATTCATTAAAAGTCATAAAATGTTACAGTGATATTGTTAAAAATAAGAGTGCCAGGACAAAAAACTACTACAGGGGCGCCAAACGCCCCCCCCCCCCCCCCCCCCCCGCCTGTTTAGGGTTAAAGGAACTGTAATTACGTAGTTTTAAGTGACCCTCCATGCAACGGTTCCCTTAATGAAAGCTTTGTTTGATTAAGTATGAATTATTTATCAATGTTTGAAATTTTGCTTATTTATTTTTGCTTGTGGTTTCAGTACAAAAGTGACTTTTATTAAACACTTTTAACCTAGATAAACAACAATATCTTCAACATTATTGATCAGATAAGAGTGCCGTTGTGAATCCGACATTTCAATCTTTGCTTGGAGGGTCGAATGAAATACCGATGACAGTCCCTTTAAAGGTTGTACTATGTAGTTATATAGTTAGAATGGTTGGGGAGGGAACTCTTGACTCCGAATACAGGTGCACTGGTATCAGGGAACATCTCCCAACCTGACAAACAAAATATTATTCAGGTGCACTGTTATCAGGGAACATATCCCAACCTCACAAACAAAATATTATTATCAGGTGCACTGGTATCAGGGAACATATCCCAACTTGACAAACAAAATATTATTATCAGGTGCACTGGTATCAAGGAACATCTCCCAACCTGACCAAACAAAATATTATTATCAGGTGCACTGGTATCAGGGAACATCTCCCAACCTGACAAACAAAATATTATTATAAGGTGCACTGGTATCAGGGAACATCTCCCAACCTGACAAACAAAATATTATTATTAGGTGCACTGGTATCAGGGAACATATCCCAACCTGACAAACAAAATATTATTATAAAACACATAATGGAGTGATTACCATAAAACAATGGAATAGGTAGACAACATTTTACCACTTCTATTTTATGTAATCATGATTTTGTTAGGAAGCAAATAGTTTTACTTGAAACTAATTAAATCAATATTCTAGTAAAATTTATACTGTACAATTGCTGTGTCTCATACTCATTAGACTTGTTAAAGTCATATCTAAAAGTCGTCTTCCTATTTCAAAGTTTTCTAGTTCTCACTGTAGTTTGCCAATAATTTTATATACGGTGGTAGGCGATTATATCAATATAATGAAGACGACTTTCGATTTCAATTTTGATTTTTATCAAGCTTTTAACCTGATTGCTTGCCCAAAACCTTAACCAAGGGGAGGTTTTCATTATTAAAATTCTTTTTTTTTATTTTTTTTTATTTTTGCCTTTGGAAAAAGGTTTGTTACCATTAAGAACATAAATAAAAAGTCGTCTTCAATACACTGATAAAATCGCCTACCATCGTACACTAACACGAATAAAAAAGTAATGATCAAGAATCTGATCTGAGCTGTAAACTTTAGTATTGTGAATATCGAGGTCAATATCTCCTCTTTTTATAATTCTCAAGATTAATTTAATCTTAAATTAAAGTCTAGGAAAGAGTCTAAAGTGAAACTAAACAGAGTACCGATTGGATTTCCCGACGATCATATTAATTAGTCGAAATCCAGCATGGATATCCAAAAGAGAGGATTAAGCAGAAAATTAAAAGTGTCGACAGTGAATACAGATATTGAACAATCAGGATTAACGGTATCCAATGCAATTGAGTTTTCAGCGCTGATCTGTCATTAAGAAGATTAAGAATACTAATCCAATATTTGTAAACAGTAGAATTCAACCTGGAAGATTCTCAACAGTTCCATCCACGTTCACCAACATAGGATAGGGCAGCATATGAACCTGAAGCAAAGGTTGGTGCGGTTATAATTCCTGAAAACATGATTGCCAGAAATTTCTAAAAATGAAAAAGTTGTTTTGGGATGCATATTGCAAACAATAAACTTAACAAACACCATAGCACTATTTCGCGTACTGCTCTCAAATTTTTAATAATAAGTTCTATAGTTAATTCTAGTAACTGTCTTTATAGAACTCATTTTTCAAGCAATTATTTCTGCACCAAAAGTTACTGTCAACTCCAATATAAAAGAGAGAATCATCGGTTACCCTTTCTTAAATTTTATTTTTTAAATATTCCATAGTCATGCAGTTAGAAAATATCAAATATCAGCAAAACCAATAATATTTGGACCAAGTACAGCAACAAATTCTCTCCCCCCAGCAAAGAGGGTTTCTTTTATAAGATTACCTGACTAAATTGCGGTTCTTCACTAATATACAACTCCTGATAGTTCAGAGTNGGGGGGGGGGGGGAACACATTTTTAAAATTTCCTGAAGAGACTCTGCCTCAAGTAACTTTAAAAGAGAAACCACATTTGAAACAATAATTGCCCGTGACTTAGACATGGCGCTTTATCAACGGTGAATAACTTCAAACTAAGTCTATAATCTCTCTGACTTTCAATATTTTCAAGTTCTGAAAAGTGTCTCACTAAATTTGTTGAAAGGTTTCGATTAAGGTTGATCAATATTTGATAAGGAATTGGAAGAAAAAAGACAGACGTATAAAGTTTTATGAATTATTAAAGAAAATAAATTCCCTTCTCCGTTCCGTCATTTAAATAAAACCCGACTCCTCAAGGAATTAAACTTTTCTAAACTTTTATAAATTCTAAATTTCTTTTTGATCTTAGAATGAAAGGCGCGGGCGTATGGCGGGGGTGCTAAAATTTACAACAAGTACCTAGTTCACAGCCTTAATGCAATTTTTTTAGAAACTATGAAACTTATTAGTTTAAACCCATGGAATAACTAATGAAATGACAATGGAAACCAAGGAATACCTAGTATAGAACCATGGAATTTCTAGTATAGAACCAAGGAAAATCTAGTATAGAACCATGGAATATCTAGTATAGAACCAAGGAATACCTAGTATAGAACCAAGGAATACATAGTATAAAAAAAGTAATACCTAGTATGTAACTACGAAATACCTAGTATAGAACCAAGGTATAACTAGCATAAAACCAAGAAATATCTAGTATAGAACCAAGGAATACCTAGTATAGAACCAAGGAATACCTAGTATAGAAACAAGGAAAACCTAGTATAGAAGTTAGAACCAAGGAATATCTAGTATAGAACCAAGGAATGTCTAGTATAGAACCAAGGGTTACCTAGTATAGAACCAAGGAATACCTAGTATAAAACCAAGGAATACCTAGTATACAACCAAGGAATACCTACTATACACCCAAGGAATACCTTGGGTAGAACCAAGGAATACTAGTGTAGAACCAAAGAATATCTAGTATAGAAGCAAGGAATATCTAGTTTAGAACCAAAGAATGCCTAGTATAGAACCAAGGAATACCTAGTATAGAACCCAGGAATACCTAGTATAGAACCAAGGAATACCTAGTATAGAACCAAGGAATACATAGTATAGAACCAAGGAATACATAGTATAAAACAAGTAATATCTAGTATGTAACTAAGGAATACCTAGTATAGAACCCAGGACTACCTAGTATAGAACCAAGGAATATCTAGTATAGAACCAAGGAATATCAAGTATAGAACCAAGGAATATCTAGTATAGAACCAAGGAAAAGTTAAAGGCCTAGTTGTGTAGAAGTACTGCAGTGAAAATAAGAATAATCTGCATTATACAGAACTATGTGGAGGAGTTGAGAGCAGGAAACTAAACGCTTTTTATGTCCATCAACTTCAAGATAAAAACATTGTTTTAACAAAATTATCTTCACTGTAAACCTCTCCACAACTTGGGAATCCAAGACCGCGGAGGGAAAAGACAAAAATACACTTCTTCGCAGGAAATTTAACCAACGAAAAAGTTTAAGGAAATCTTTAAAAATTATACAATTAATCCCGTAAAATGTTTATATTCTCGAAAAACAATTTCATAGCAAGTCCCGTGGTCTGGTTAGTTAGTTTTGATTTAGATGGTTTTAAATNTAAGTTAACTATGCATAGGAATTATGAAGAAGATATTTAGAAAATTGTTGTTGAAGGCAAACATTTTTACAGGTAGCTTAGAATCAACTTATTAATTTAAATGGGTCTGTGTACACTAGACAATTCTAGTTTTTTTTTTAATGTTAATATTAGACTATTAATTCATAAACCTGACTTAGCTAAAGCATGAGTCTCAAAGGATATGTTATGGAAACGCCTCAACACGGAAATGGTTTAAAAAATGGACTCATAAAACTAATTCAATTTCATCTTCTCTCAAGTCTAAAAAAAAATAAAAATTTGTGTAAAATAAATTCCTGACATTTATTTAGGATAGGTTGATGAGGGGCCGATCGCTGCGACTAGAACTGACTAAGGGGCCGAAAGCTGCGACAATGGCTGTGATAATCGTCGGAATATAGTATTTTTTAGTTTTAAGTTAAGAGAAGACGACATTTAATTAGTTGCGGTAAATGCGATATTTTACACAGCAGATTCCACTGTGTACAACTGAAGTACACGAAAAATCAACTGACTGACTATCCCGTGAGAGCGCATAAGCAGTCTTTCTGTGGTGGATACTTAACCATATGCCTAATGTACACAATGAACCCTGATGTACACAATAAACCCACCTTCTCCACCGATCTGACGAAGGAAGTTCCCCTCGTAATCAAAGACCTTAACGCAGTGCGCCCTGTTGTCCGAAATAAAGATCTCTTGTCTAAATTAATATAAATATCAATAATAAAAAGATACTAATAAAGATACAAAGAATGAAAGGGAAGATGGAGGGGGGGGAGGGTGTGGCGGTGATTACTATTTGAGGAACTCTGGACTCCCTCCCTAGGTGGATAGAGGGGTTGGATGGTGTTTAAGGACGGGAGCGGGAGAAAAAGATTGAATTTGCACATTATTTTGTGTCAGAGATAATTCAGTTTCATGGCTACTGAGGTTTTAACAAATGAATTCTATTCCATCTCGTAATTAAACCAAATTTTTAATGTCAGTGCACAGTTAAGTGGTACAGTACAATGCTAGGTTTTAAGCATACCACTACTGTACTCATCTATGTACTGTGTGACTGCATGTACGTATTGTACTGTACTGTACCCGGACTAAAAACTAAATGGAGTATCACTGAAAGTATTTATTTAAGGATAAACTTAAAGCCCTAGGAACAAAAACAATATCAGTGTCTGTATTTGGTTGACGGGAGGAGGGAGGGGAGGGGGGGGGAGTACAATCTAGAACTAGAATCAAAGTAAACTGCAAAGTTAGGACATATTGTGTATCCCACCAAGTTTGCTGTTTACCTAAATTGCTTCCAGTTCAATATGTCAAGAGTGTGCACACTCAGTAGTAGGAAACTACCAAGTAGTAGGATCAATAGAAGAAGGAGTAGGTGTTATAGGAGTAGGATGAAAAGGAGTATGAGGACTATGAGTAATAGGAGTATAGGAGTAGGAAGAACAGGAGTAGGATGAATAGGAGTAGGAGTAATATAAGTAGGATAAATAGGAGTAGGAGTAATATAAGTAGGATAAATAGGAGTAGGAGTAATATAAGTAGGATAAATAGGAGTAATAAAAGTAGGAGTAATATAAGTAGGATAAATAGGAGTAGGAGTAATATAAGTAGGATAAATAGTAGTAGGATGAATAGGATGAGTAATAAAAGTAGGATTAATAGGGGTAGGATGAATAGGAGTAGGAGTTATATAAGTAGGATATATAGGAGTAGGAGTAATATAAGTAGGATAAACAGGAGGAGTAATAAAAGTAGGATAAATAGGAGTAGGAGTAATAGAAGTAGGATAAATAAGAGTAATAGAAGTAGGAAAAATATGAGTAGGAGTAACAGGAGTAGGGGTAATGTAGGAGTAGGATCAATCATTATGAGATGGAGTAGGGTCAACAGTAGTAATAGAAGCAATAGTAGGTTTGTAGTAGGACTAATTTCTTATAAACTACATGCAAACTTTTTCTTTTATCCTACCTGTCATTAACCACAACCCCATTAGGAAACTCGAGATGTTTGGAGCAACCGAACTTGTTTAGAACATTTCCAAACTGATCAAAAATAATCACACGCATCACCTGAACATGATCAACCAATTATTGATTTTTTCTTGAATCTTGCTAGGACACTCTTACGATATTCGTGACTAAAGGTCAGAACTTTTGAATGAGTTAAGTGCTTAATCCGTAAAGAACAGCTGACTTTAATTGCCACGGTTTTTTCTTTCTTTGGCTGCTACTTTTTCGACCTTCAGAGAATTAACTTAAATCGTCGAGCAAAACAAACGGATTTGTTCTTTCTGTTGGGATTAACGTTAAAGTTACGGGGCATGTCTCCATGAGAGGCTCAGGTTTAAACTTATAAATGCACATGGCTAAAAATTAAACCTATAAATGCACATCTTGATGAAAATTATAATTGTTTCACTCATTCCAACAATTCAACCATCATTCAATTAGTCAACAGTAGAATTAATTTTAAAATGTCAAAAAAAATTTTCTCATTTATGATTCAGCAAATTCTTTAATATTTCAGAAGAGAAGTGGTGAGAAAATTACAACATTTTTATTTGTATTAATTATTTTCCTAACTTTCTGTAAAAATAGTAAAAAAGGAAATAATATTTCTCCCATGTTTTAGGGGAATAGTCGTGATTGGAAACAAACAAAGATAAAAATATTTAACTATCTCACAGCTCCCCAATACCATAAATAAAACAAATGGAATGGATATTGGAGACTAGAAATTCTAACAAAACCGTTTTTAACGGCCAATAGTTTGTCCAAGGTAATAGCTCTGCGAATAATAAGGAGGCTAGGGTAAAAAACCCTTTTTTATAAAATATGGAGGAGGGGGGGGGGGGGGGGGAGACATTTTTGGAAAATGAAAATAGCGACTTCACCAGACAACGTTCTTACCTATTCCTTTCTTATTTTAATTTCACAAAAAAATTTATAATTTTACAAAAGAATAATTTTACAGAAAATATGCACTCCTAAAAAACGAAAAATTTAAGATGGCTTACCTTGCACTCAACGACGACAATCCTCCCCTTGTTGTCTACACAGACCCCCCTGGGGTGCTGCAGGATGTTAGCCCCGAACTTCCTGACGAACTGTCCGTATTGATTATAGATCTGAATCTGGTGAGTCGGGGACCTAATTAAAAAATAAAGATAAAATATTCAATTTGATCCTTCAGTCCACACAAAAGCAAAGAAATTAAGAAAACAATTGCCGAGTTCTGAACACCCCCCTTTCTAATAATAAATCCGCGAAACAAAGATTTAGAAAAATCCCCCAATGCACAATTGTCTAGATAAGCCAAGTGATATTAGTCTGTTCCAGCAGTGCATGTCCTGCAGTCCCAACAGATTATGCAGCTTGTTTTTATCATTATATATTTAATATACAAATATAATATATCAAACATTACATGCTACTGGGAATAGTACTTCTAATATGTTCTATTTTATTCAGTTTACTAATTTATACATTTATATAAATAAATTCTTTTCTTTATTCTGAACTTAAAACCTAAATACCATTTAATAGAAAGTTCCTATTGTTTGACAACATATCTCAAAACATAAAATTATGACAAAAATGTCCATCGGATACTCAACTATACGGTACACACAGTCACAATGTATAATCTATTTTTTTCTACTTCCAATTAAATAAATTCATGAGAAATTAGCATAATGCAGAATGATTTTCTTCAAAAAAAAAATTTCGAAATAAAAGATTTGATTTGATTTGTAAAGTTAGATCTATGGAACTCAATTATCATAAAGGAAGATTTCACATTATGCAAAATCTTATTAATTTAATGGCGGACAGACGCATTTATCAGAATTAGGAGAAGCAAGAACTAGGGAAACCTAGATAACTCATGAAACCATGCGGCAAAATATTCCGAATAGAAATAAGAAAGAACGTAAACGATCAACTATTAATTGAACCTATACATTACAATATACAAGAACCAATAGCACCGTAAGAACCAATAGAACCTTAACAATCAATAGAACCTTAAGAACCAATAGAACCTCGAGAACCGATAAAATCTTAAAACCAGTTAAAGCTTAAGAACCAATAGAACCTTAAGAACCAATAGAACCTTAAGAACCAATAGAACCTTGAGAACCAACAGAATCTTAAGAACCAGTTGAAGTTTAAGAACCAATAGAACCTTAAGAACCAATAGAACCTTGAGAACCGATATAACCTTAAGAACCAGTTGAAGCTTAAGAACCAATAGAACCTTAAGAACCAATAGAAAATTAAGAACCAATAGAACTTTAAGAACCAATAGAACCTCAAGAACCAATAGAACCTTAAGAACCAATGGAACCTTAAGAACCAATAGAACATTAAGAACCAATAGAACCTTAAGAACCAGTTGAAGCGTAAGAACCGATTAAATCTACAGAACTACCAAATTTAGAACCTTAAGAACCAATAGAATATTAAGAACAATTAGAACCTTGAGAACCTTCTGAAAAATGAACCTTTAGGACCTCAAAAACCAAAAGAACAAAATTAATCCTTTACCTCTCTGTCACAATGATGTCCCCGGAGTTTTTCACAACCGCTACACGGTTAGGGTAGAGCAACTGTCCGTCTCTCTTCCCAACCTCACCAAATTGGAACTTAAATCTTCCCTCTTTGTCGAAAATCTGGATCCTACAAAATTTTATGTTTTAAGTTTTAGTTTTCGATGGTTAATATTTGATTGGTTTTTGATTTACCTATGGTTGTTGGTATCCGCTACAATAATATCGTTTTGTGCATTCACGGCTACTCCACTGGGTTCGGTAAACTGTCCCTCCAGGATACCGAACTCACCAAACTTACAGTGGTAAATCATCTTCTGTCGTTTTATCTGGCTCTTGGGTGGGTAGAGCGGGGACACACTGGTCATGGGGGAGGAGGGGGACAAGTTGGTGCTCGACATGAACTTTGAGGTCAAGTCGATCATATCACTCGGCGGCTGGGAGATGCTCAGACGATCCTGAAACAGAATTTTTGATTCCATTTTCAAATCATTGTTCTCTGTATAAAATAAACAAGAAAGGGTAAAATAACAAACCTTGAACGCGTCCTGTGACGGTTGTGGGGTAGGAGTAAGTCCAAAGAGAGAATCCGAACCGTTGGACCATTTTTCATATGGATTCAGTCCAGAAGAGTTTAGTCCTCCAAGTCCATTTGAAACCAGATTGTTGGAGACAGGGATGTTTAATCCGTTAGCTCCGGCCAGTTCCGCAATAGAGGATCCATGAAGAAGAGAGGAGAGGTTAGGAGAAGAGAGTTGAGAGGAGGAAAGGTGGGATGAGGAGAGGTGAGATGAGGAGAGGTGGGATGAGGAAAGGTGTGGAGAGGTAAGCTGAGAGGAGTGGAAATTGGGAGACTGATGGGACTGACTAAAACGCTTGGAGAGCAGGCTTGCTGACTCAAACTGATTCCCATATCCTCGTTGGTCAAGCAGCCCTCTTACCATAGAGTTGAGAGGACCCATCTCCTGTGGAGGAGGGAGGGGAGAAGGGACAGGTCTAGAGATGGGTGGCTGCTGTTTATTACCTCCGCCACTCTCTGGTTTAGATTTTACATATCCAAACTGATTCTTTACTCCAACCTAGAACATAGAATTAAAGTATAAGAAACAAGTTTACTCCGATCATTTACATAATATTACAGTAACATAAAAACAAAATTTCAACCAAATTCAATATTTCCCTGATTTCACAGGAACATTTGACGACTTTGCCAAGTAATCAAATATGGAGATAACAAATTTGCGGTTTTAAATGAAGATGAATAAGAATACAGTGGGTTTCATACAAAGGATGAGACTTCAGAGATGACTTACCGAAATTAAAACTTTAATTTTTTACATTTCATTTGACGACATTTTGCCTCCAACAGATCATTTCAACAATCTTACCTGGATAACCCTGTATATCTAAACCATTATCCCCCCCCCCTTCTCCTTTATTCTCCAGTTGTATCCCACTCGTGCTAAATTCGAGAGGATGGAAGGGAATGAAAATAGTTTAATTATTTTCCTTTGTGAGTAGAATCAACAATATATCTGGAAGGATCGGGTGTAGAGGAAAGGGGGAGGGGCTAGGCCGGGGGATAAACAGGGGGGGCGGGGGCGGTTATAAAGGAGAAGGAAGGGAGGAAGGGATATTAAGGATGGGAATACAAGGCATGTTTTGGATTTAACTCCTGGAAAATGGATAATGGAGAGCGGAGCGAAAAACTACAAAAACTTTCTGCTGTCTCACAAATATTGGTCGGGGATGATTAATTGATTAATTTGTGACAGGATTGATTGATTTGTTTATGGAGGAATGATTGATTGATTAATTACCTGTATGGCCTGAAAGTTTGAAATGAACTCTAGTTCAGTAAGAGAGCTCATGTTGAGCTCTGGTGTGTAGGAGAGGAGTTGATGCAACCTAAATAAATACAATGATAACCAAAATATTCTGAAATAAGAATGAGCAAGAACTGCGCAGCAATTGTGCAGTGTAAACAGACACATTTCACTAAATTTGTGATTTAATATGTGCCTAATAAAACTATTTGCTTAGTATCAACATTCAACATCAAATACAATGAAGTATTGCTATGGTGTCGTCTTCCTATTTTATTGTTTTCTGGTTATCACTGTACTTTTCAATTCAAAAATTATCTCTCTATGTCATTTTAAACAGAAAAGATTTACTAAAATGTTCTCGCCAATATTGCACTAATATTACCTGGCATCTAGAGGCTTCTTAAACAGAAGAACTTCGCCGTTACTAGCATGCTTCATTAATCTCTCGATGAAATCGGTCACCTGAAATGTAAACAATCATTAAAGGGACTGTAAGCGTAATATCAAGTGATTCTCCATTGTTTACGCTGTGTAGCTCAATAAAGCGCTGCAACCACCGGCATTTTCAGCCGACTACACGGGTTTAGGTATATTCAGCTGACTACACGGGGTTAGGTATTTTCAGCAGACTACACGGGTTTAGGTATTTTAAGCTGACTACACGCGTTTAGGTAACTGCACACGACGAAAACACACCGTTGTAAAACGGTGGTGTATTTTTAGACCTACGCAAATCCGCTATACTCCACTTCTGACCTACGCCAAATCCGCTATATTGCACATCCGACCTACTAGCACGTAGTTTTACAGCTGCTTTATTGACTTGTGGCCGCAGCGCCCGTCCCCCTAGCCTGTCAGCTAGCCGCAGCGCTCAGCCCCCTAGCATGTCCTAGCCGCAGCGCTCGGCCCAGAAATTGTCTTAACCTAACCAAAGCCTCAAATAATACAAAAATAAACAGCTGGCGTAGGTCCGATATTGCAGTAAGTCGGAAAGTTAGTAGGTCAGAAGTTCAGAAGGGGGGATTGTTGCGTATAGACGATGTAACATTACCCGTAAATCGGGTTTTCCCCTCTTGGCATGAAAGGTCACTTGAAATTACGCTTGCAGTCCCTTAAAAGGAAATTCTAATGTTTATAATATTTTAAAAAGGGAACAATGCTTAAGATCTCCAATGAATCATTCAGTAAAAATATTGATACAGATACAAGTTAAAAACGACGACATTTTTTACAGATTCAGGACATAATCCTGTTATCACAACCTTATTTGGTGAAATTTTCTTCACCATTTAAAGAGCCCAATTGGGTTGAACAAAATTAATGTAAATTTACCTGGAATATTTTGTCTACCGTTTCTTGAGCCTTCTGGCTGTAAACTGAGAGTGCCACCTGCTTGCTGCTGTAAGCCTGGATTATAACCAAATTAACAATTACTTTTATTACTATGGTTGGGAATTAATTTAAATCAATTAAGATAACTCTGTAAGTAGAGCGCATAATTAACCTCAAATATTATTATAAACATGCCCAGAAATCCAGTGCAATTTAGTTTATATAAAAAAGATTAGATCTAAAGGTTAATGCATAAGCTGGCCTTAATTGCGCTTTGTGTAGTATTGATTAAAATAGCCTTAGGTTGGAAATAGAATTAAGAATTGATATAAAGGAAAGCTGCAGCAATAATTGATAAGGGTTTGACTATAAGTTACATAAAAGCTGACTGAAACTTACAGCATTCTTTTTGCGAAACTTACCGGAAACTTTATTCTGATTTTAAAATTTAACTCGAAAAATCCGCAAAATAATATAAAATGCGCCAAACCTTTTATTTGTGGGATTAGTAAAATATACTCCCTAGTTCTAACTATTTATGATGGTATGTAGTTTGAAATAAACTACTCTCGACACAAAACAAGATATATATCTAGTATATGAGCACAACTTCAGCTAGAACCCACAATTCAGTGGAAAGAAAGTACGCTGAGGGGGAAATACAGAAGATAAATTTTAGACATTCTTATTTATAGATGTTTTATATTGATCAATTACAACCATAAATATAACTCTACCAGGATACAGAAGAAACCGGCTAACAATAGAATTTACAATTCTACTTTTTCTTACTTCATTGATTTAATCTGTTCTATAACAGAGATACATCTTCTTAAACTCTAGTTTTTTATGCCATATTTACATAAAAAGTGGAATCAATTAAATTCAAAGTAAACCAGACGGAGGGAAGGCAAATAGCAAATAACAAGGTTTAACGGCAGGCGCGCTTCCAATGCCTTCCCTCGCTCGCAAAATTTTTTTTATAAAAATGGGACCTGTTCCAGCTCTCTGGCAATCTCAGCTCGTCTTTCGTCCAGCATGGAGACGTAGAACTGGTAGGTCTCGTTAACCTCGCTTAATGCCTTCTGATACTGACCGGCCAATCTAAGAAAAATAATCTTTAAAAAATCGATTAAAAATTTTTTTCTTTGAATTTATTCGCTGAAAGGGTTCTGAACTGTATTTATCAGGATTTCCCCCCAATCTTATTTGAATTCCCCCATCTCGTTCAAGATCAAAGTGTATCCAATCTAATTCATTCTAACCTGACAACGTCTAATCCGATTTTTACTCTTACCATACATTTAAATATTTAATTTCAAATATATATTTTCTTATTTAAGCTTAATTCCGCTTTAAAGAGATTGTGAGCGTTCTATCTAGGTTCTTAACGATCCATAGTTAAGCCTTTCAGGAGACAGATCAGAGTTAATTTCTTTCTCGCTTCATAAAACCACGATTTGAGCCATCCCAATCAGCAAAAATTCCAAGCATCTGAGAAACCATGAAATCCTTGTAATGCCAAAAAGAAGATATACCAAGTAATTTTTTGACATCACATTATTTATTCAACTTAATTCTTCATACCGCGCACAAGGATTTTCAATTTATCTTTTTTAGGATGGTCTTTTTTTTTACCAACAACATTGTTCAGATAACTCGAAAGTATGTTCTGTGTGGATTCCAAAATAATTATAGACTAAAGTTTTTTTTTAAGATGTAAAATGTGCCTTCTTCATAATACAATTTCTCAATGTCCAATAAATGGACACTGCACTAAAAGTTACTCTTTGACGTAAAAAAAAGACTGTTATCCTACCNCCTAGTCTGAACCTGGTAAAATCCTGGAGTTTTGTTCTGAAAAGGAATACTAAAGTCTAATCTAGAGGTCTGAATATCGAGTATGGTAGCAATATATTGACAAGAGGAGGATTTAAAAGAAACAGACCAATATAGAATAAATATCCCGCAGGGGTGTACATTTTTGTATGATTTTGAAGATCTGGGGGGAAAAATGGGGAATAAAAAGGCAAGTTTTTTTATTTATCTTTTTCATACTTTTTACCCCAAAATTGATTTTTTACCTGTTAACATAATAAAATTTCCAGAATTCAGCGAATAAACCAAAACTTCAAGGGGAAAAATATTTTAAGAGGAGTGATTTTTAAGGAAATATACACCCCTGATATTCCCCCTATTCTCGCCCAACCTGAGATATCTAAAAAGAAAACCAATGCCTTTAGAATACTTGATTAGCACCCAAAACATGGGAGAAACAGATTTTTCAATGTCCGTCCCACCTTCAGATTCAATGAAGATTCAAGAACTGTGAAAAAGAATTCTCAATTGAAAAGAAAGATTTATCAGATATTCTTTCCTCATACATTCACATGAGAAAAATAAACCTGGGAATAAATAGAAAAGTCTAAAGAAAGAAATATAACTTTCCCAGATTTCTTGCCAACCAGATATTGGCGGATTTTTGACCAGGGACGTTTTGGCGGATTTTTAACTTTGGGTCCCACATTTTCCGCGATTTCCAGATGTTGGCGAAATTGATCAGGGCTCCCCCACTTCTAGTCTAGGGTTGTCTACCTGGTGGATGTAGTCTCCAGGTTCTTCAGATTGTTTCTGATCTCATTGGCCTTCAGCTTGCCCTCGCTGATCATCTTATTGACCGCATCAAGCTCCTGAAGCAAAATATTTAATTTTTATAATTTATTATTTACCTCCACCCTTTTCTTGTAGGTGTGTAAAGTTGTAATACCCCCGGCAGGATTATATTTATTTTCATCCCTCAATATTACAAGTTTATCTAACCAACCGTTAAACCCTTTCCTTCCCCGTTCCTTACACAATTATCAGGTTTATAGACCTTTATCCTTATACATACACAGTACACACACACACACACACATCCTACAGGGTGTCCCAATAAACATGGGAATTCAGTGACGAATTCGATACCGTCTTTTCAAATAATTTTTTGTTTTAGTATAGTGATACCAACTGAAAAAGCTGTAATCTGTAAGAGTTTCGTCTGCTATGTTCACATTTTGTTTTGACTGCATACGGTTGTACTTAGTAAAACAAGAAAATTTAAGTTTACAAAAAGAGTAAACTTGTTGTCCGTCTTTACTGTTCATCTTGCGGAGACATTATAGACACATCTTTGCAGTCTTCTACCCTATTCATAGCAGACATAATAACATTATGGCTTTTGAAATTAGGTATTACAATGCTAATTCATAACCAAGACGATATCAAATTCGTCACTGAATTCCCATGTTTTTTGGGACACCCTGTAGTTTCAACATTATTCCATTAAAAAAACCCTCAAAATAGAAAAAAAGACGATTTTCCAAGGGTGTAAAGTTTTCAGAATGATTTTTGATGATATGGAAAAACCTGAAAAATTGAATATCAAATGTAAACCTTTTTCATTCTTTTTAAGATAGTTCATTTTCCCCAATTAAACGAATAAAAGTTAAAACCAGAAAGAATTGCGCGCGAGCATATAAAAATTGCGCGCAAGCATGTGTATTTTATTGGGGGAAAGGGGGGGGATATTTAATGTGCAGTTTAGTACAATATGCAGTACAGTACATCACAGTTTCCGTACCTGTACATGATGAGTCCCTGAGTTACTAGTAATCTCCCCTAGAGTGGTAACATGATGACCCTCAAAGCAGTGCATGAACTAAAAAAAAATAAGTTTATCACAAAAAAAAATGAAAAACTTCAGGGTTTATAATTTCTAAATTATATATTGAAGCTGTATCAAAAAAAGAATAACGAGTCTATTTAACTTTTTAAGAATAGAAAGGAGAGAAGACAGCAGGATCAGTGGCGTGGGAGATTTAATATGAGGGAGGATGGTAGAATGAGGCTGGAAAGAATCAAGATATCAAGGTTAGAGTGTAGAATGAGGATGGATAAAAAGATTGGTGAGGATTGATGAATCAGGGAGGAATGAGAGAAGAAGGAAGAATTAGGGAAGAATGAGGGAAGAAGGGCGAATCAGGGAGGAAAGAGGGAAGAAAAATGAATCAGGTAGGAAAGAGGGAAGAAGGATGAATAAGGGAGGAATGAGGGGAAGAAGGGTGTATAAGGGAGGAATGAGGAAAGAAGGATGAATGAGTGAAAGGCGGG